GACCAAGACCGGGTGCTTGACTTGCAAGTATGCATAGATTGAAATACCTCGCAGAGACCTCAGGCGAATTCTTTTATACTAATCTTCGTAGGATTCGCAAGATCAAGTGCGACGAAACCAAGCCTTCTTGCCGACGCTGCAATGACACCGGCCGAAAGTGCGACGGCTACTTGGCACGGGCATCGGTCGAGTTCAAGATTCATGCAGCCCTACGACATCATGGATCAGACTCCGCAAGTGAGCGAAGGTCACTGCAATATTTCTATGAATACGCTGCGCCTCGTCTATCTGGCCCTAGGAAGCCTGCCTTCTGGACGTTCTTTGTCATGCAGCTCAGCCAATCTGAGCCAATAGTGAAATATTCACTGTTGGCAATCAGCCACCTATACGAAGCTCGCGAGATGCGGACAGTCCCTACCACAATACCTCTGCTTGCATTACAGTATTATAATGCGGCAATAAAAGGTGTGAAGGCTGTGCAAGACCAGTCTTTAGTCCTGGTTGTATGCGTCTTGTTTACATGTATCGAGCTGCTGCAGTCAAATAACGAGACCGCGATTCGGCATTGCAAACACGGCAACCAAATCTTAGAGACTTATGACAGCGATAAACCCTGGATACGAGATCATCTCGTACCAGTCTTTCGGCGATTGAGCGTCCTTCCCCTGCTCCTTGGAAGGCCACCTGCGGACTCAGCCCTTGCACATGTCCTAAGATATACGGTACCGACGAGATTTGATAACATAGAGGATGCACAATCGATGATCGACGAAATTTGCAGACGATTGATGATCTCACAACATTGGAAACGGAAAGGGGCTCGTTTCGATCAGGTGAAGGAGATGAACTGCATCGGTTCCCTGTTGCAAAAATGCAAACAATTGATGAACGGTCTCGACATTGACTCAACATCTCAGCCAAATTGTGCTAGCGAAGGTCCGCAAGCACTGATGCGTATGCGCTTCCACACATGTCAAGTTTGCTTCGATATGCTGTTCCCAGTAGGTCATGGGGGCAACGATGAAAGACACATACACGGCTTCCGCGAGATGATTGCATTGGCTTCTGACTTTAGTACTTTACGGACTATACGGCTTCCACGATTCGTTTTCGAACTTGCATTCTCACCTGTGCTGTTCTTCGTTGTCACAGAGTGCAAGTGCTTAGAAGTGCGGCTTTCAGCTCTGCGTCTGATAAAGGTACTAGGAGCAGAAAGAGAGGGCCTCTTCGAAAGCCAAAACTTGTACGCTCTGGGGCGACAAAAAGTCCAAACGGAACATGGTGTGATTTTGGATGACTTCGACTACCCTCAATAGTTGGTTTTGAATTTGAGTATAGTGATTTGAGCCATTACATAAGGTAGTAATTGAATGACTACGAAGAACTCTCATCGTGATGAGCTTCAATGATGAGCCATCTACACCTTTCCCCTACAGCTTGAGTCCTTTCCAGTGGCTCCAGCCTTGATACAACGTTCCCTCATCCCGCAATTGCTCTGTCCAATATTTTTGAACAGTGTCTCGCTATAGTAGTAGCACTCATAGTGACGAAGGTCCGAGTTATATTTCGTTCGATACCCAGCCTTTGTGCAGACTGTCGAGGTGGCACTGTCATTTGGCGAACAATCTGAGTCGTAGCAGTGGCAGTATTTATAGCCAGAACAAGCTTGTGCGGTAATCGAGATCGAAAGAACGGTCACCAGAGTTGTGAGTCTCATATTCTGGAGATGTTGTCTGCACAGCTTAGGCTTGTTACATTTATCCAACTTACGGATGGCTTCTCTATGATCAAGTCGTAGGAAGGTGCGTGGTAAACTTTTGCCAGGAAGATTGTGGAAAATATCAGGCGAATCGTCGAAACTCGTGGGTCTCCTCTCTCTATCTTAAGTTAAATAGGTATTGTAGAATTCGCTATTCAGAGCGATTGGTTCATCGGAAGGCCGGCAACTATCAATTTCTCTGAACTGATTTGAGAAACTCTGACCTATGAGCTAGCGAGACTGCAGAAACGAACAACCCAGAAATCGCAAGTTAATTTACACAAGTTTGCGTCGTAGCCTATCCGAGTTGGTTATTCTGGCTCGTCCGCGAGATGGGAAATTACTGCATAACTTTGATAAGCTACAGGCTGAACTCGTGTGTAATCAGATATCCTGATGAGATTCCATGGTTCTTGCGAACTTACTACCGGGAGCAGTGAGCTCAGGCTGTACTTGTATCCAGCGCAAGATGACGGGCATGTCAGCATGATCTTGTGTGAGTCTATATAATTTTAATCGCGAAAGCTGTCTTGATTCAATGGCCTGAAAATACCACGGTATGTCCTAACCTAGGCTGGATTCTCGATGTTTGCCAGAAAGTACTGTCGAGACAGGAAAGATTCAATAGCGCAGAAGTCATGGATACTGCTAGGCTACAAAAGAGGCAATGTTCCGGACTGAATCTGACTTCACTGATGGACTGATTTCTCATCACCTGACTTTCAAAGTTTAGTTAGAGGACGGAGCGGCGAATTATAGCCCACCGGTGAGTATTGCTGATACTGGATGATTACTTACACGAATATGCGTAACCCGTCGCTTTAGGGCTGAGTTATCGACTAGCTAAGCATGAACTCATCCAGATTTCGTTTCCTGTGGAATATCGCCAAGGGTTTACAATGCTCCTAGTCGGTAAGAGCAGCATCCATTCCCAGCGTCAATACACAGCGAGTGAGTCCCGGTCAACTCTTCTATAATGTATACGCATGATCTTTTTCAGCCTTTTAGGTCGTACAAGCCTTTTATTGCAATCTGCCATGATGGCTATGACTGCAACACGTTTGATTCAATTGCGCGTTCATTGATTCGACTTTCTCTTGTCTTGTTTCTCATCATAAGCTGCAGAATGCCAGGACGAGCGCGTAATGACGCATTGCTTAGGGCCATCAAACCTAACCTCAACGTTGTGCATATGACTGGGAAAGTCTACATAAATCAATAATTAGGGGCTTAAGCTACCAATTCTAGGAAACTTCGACATATTTTCCCCCCCAAAATTTGGTCACTTTAGTGTCTCCAAGTGTCTTTTACACTGTTCTCGACAAATACACTCAATTCTTCCTATTGGGCCTTTGGGATCTTGCTCTAATGGCATCCCTTTGTCAAATGGCTCATCTCCACGATGCTTCCCTTTTTGAATGGCCACAAAACAGTCTATCTCTCTTGATCAAAGTTCTCTAAGGTAGGCGACCTAGCTGATACTTCTGTACTCATCTTTTGATTCCCCCTCGCCTTGGTGACTGCGCCTTGCCTTTGTGAACTGTACGAGATGAGAGAATGTATTTAATTGATCTGAAACAGCGTAAGTAAGCCTCGACAATAGAAAGCAATCCAAGTAGTGAATGAAACTTCTCAAAATCTATCCCTTTCTCTTTTTGATTTGGGATTTGAAGTGAAAGAATGATCACAGGCTAGCAGCATTTCTTTTTGTTAATCAAGCGACAAAAGCAACCCGTTTAGCACTTAAACCCAATCACTCATTCCGTACAATGGTAAATCGCGATCAAGGATTATAGTGCAATGAGCTGGTTAGGGCTACCGAATTCTCTTCTAGCTCCGTCGTCACTCTTCCCCGCTCGCATATCGCCGAGTCAGACCGCATCGCAACCAATGCTGCCAGTCTTGATACGAGCATATAAAGTTTGAATGTTGAGAGAAATCAATTAAAAATTCTTCTGTGATGCACTCTATTACCCACTCGTATCAAAATCTGTCAGCTACCTTAGGCTTCTACGGCGATCCCCTTCTTATCTCATGGCCTGGAGCACGTAAGTTCAATATGCCCAGTTTAGCGTTTTTTCGAACGAAATTAAACACTGACAGACTTTGCATTAACTATACGACTACATGAACCCGAGAGCGACGATTTCGGGATGATATCAAGCCACGTTGCGCCGTGTGGTAGCTGATTACTATACATATCCTGAAATTCCTCGATAGAAAAAAGCCGCATCATCGGTCCCTTCTCACTTTGCCCTCAAGATCTCAGTCTCCACAGATTCACCACCAGCATCAGTATGTAGTCAACTTCGCATTATATTCTAACTCATCTGACACGCTCAGTGCATCTCGCAGCCGTAACCACTCTTTTTGCGCTCGCCAGTGTGGCGATGGCTGGTAACCCTCGATTCAAAGTCAGTTGCGATCCAGCCGTACCAGCTGCCTACCAGGCTAGCTTGAAGGCATTCGAGAAGAAAAACTGTGGAGAATCCGAGTATTTTATGAGTCCAGGCATTTGGCATGAAGACACACAGTCGTGCGAATCCCCCGGCCCAGCGGGCGCGAATACCCAAAGATACTACCATCCACTCTTTGCTAGCTCTTCAGGTGGTCCCAACATCAGCCCGCGTTGCCACTGGGTTCCAGCTTAGGTCTTTCGGGAGGGAACCTATACCTTGTACGCCTTATTAATGGCATCACTCGTTCCTAGCAAGGTCGGTGACTGGTAGAGGTATAATTTCAGTTGGCAACACCCAGTCAAGCAGGAAAATCCAAAGCTGCGATCCGAGTGACAGCACTGGGGCTGCGATGAGATCAGATCAAGTATTCATCTGCCGAAAAAGCGGCGTGGTTGAAGAACAATCCTAGGCTAGAAACCAATCCAAATTACCTTATGCGTAAACCTTTCTGCGTGTACTTGCTTGCCAGATCAAACATATTTCGGCTGCCTCTTGTACAGCTTGATAATTTCCTTTTCACTACAATCTGTCTTGACTGGCTTAGAAAGATGCGGAACGCGCCTGATGGCAAAGCGCTGGCTTTATTTCCAACAATCTCTTGGGGACAATGATAGTCCTCCTCGAAAAAGTAGAGATCATGCAAAGGGAGAGGTTTATCTCGAGAGCCAATGGCAATCGAGCGCCAAACCTTCCAACATGAACCGAGCGGGAAGGTCTACTCTGGTTGGTGCCTGCTGCAGTATTAGCTCCTCCAGCCACATTTCAGTTGGTGCATGCAACATCATCAGAACAACCACCAACAATCCGAGGTTTATCTATTTGATGGCGGGAAGCAACGCATAAGAGTGCATCATGCATGGCGCAAACTTATCGATACCCTCATTGGGGTTCGTCGATTTGCCGGTCGAAATCCAAAACCACATCCTCCAGGCGCTCGCCTCCTCACACCCCGCATCGATCTGCGCCGTCCTTCCCACATGCAAACATCTCTACAAAATCGCTCTACCACTCTCAGTCCGAACTTATGAGAGCGCAGCCGGCCCAAAGAACACAAGCCAGTACGCGCAGAAGCGCAGCCGCAACCTCGACTTCCTGCGTTACATCACCATCACCAAGCCTGAGCTCGCACAACATGTGCGCCGCATTACCATCAAACATGTCTCCACCAGCCTCATTTACCGCACTGCCCCATCAAGCAAGAAACCCTTGGGTCCCGAAAGCGATGAGATTGGCGTGTACACCAACATGATTGACGCATCGGGCCTCTCCGACCACGTCGAAGACTGGGAGGCCGTGCGACACGAATGGCTTCGGGGCCTCGCCGACGGCTTAGTCGAGCAGCAGATTGGCCTCATGTTTCTCGCATGCCCCAAGATTCAGGTCCTCGAATTGGGAACGCCGCTCGCGCCTCGGTTGCTACCTCGCTTGATCAAGGCCGCGGCATTGCACGGGAGGAGCATGAAGGCCCCATTACTCCATCACTTGCGAGAGTACTGCGGCGAACCAGAGATGCCCAAGAGTCTTTTCCACTTCTTCAACATTGGGAAGGAATTCCTACAACTACCTCAGTTACGGACGTTCACGTGCGCGAGTTTATCGAGCAGTGGCCCAAACGGGCACCTCTTCGACGAGAACGCCAATCCGCCCAGGTCTTCAAACGTTCAAAATCTTACTTTGCTAGATGCAAACATTACACAAGAGGGACTTGGCACAGTCATCCGTGCTTGCAGAGAGTTGAAGTCGTTTCGCTGGACCCCAGGCGACAGCAGTTTCCTAGATATGCAGATCAAGCTACAGGACCTAGCCCAAGCTCTGTCGCCGCATCGAGATACTCTCGAAGATTTGCATATCGACTACCAAGGTCAGTGGCGCAATCAAGAATGGTACGTCGAACTAGACGGCTTCTTCATCGGTACATTCCTACGAGAGATGGTTTCGTTGAAGACGTTGCACATCGGGATGGAGGCTTTCACTGGCTTTACCGATCTTTGGACGGTCCCAAGCCTTTACAACAACTTCAGTCCAGAAGAAAAGGAGTTGGAGTTGAAGAGAGCTCCGCGACTCATCAATCATATACCTCATAATCTTGAGAGCCTCGAGCTATACGGGTGCACCGAGGAGATACTACCTCACGTCCGTCAACTCGTGGACCTGCACCAGATTGGCGAACGATGTGCGAGCTTGCGGAAGCTCCGGCTACGTTTTAACGCAGAAATGGTTGATCCCAGTAAAGTGAGCCTGAAGTACGATGAAAAGTTGAGTCGCCTAGACTTGGAAATTACGTACGACCGTCTGAGTTGAAGATGCCTGAAGGATTTCAAGGGATGATCTACGTTATAGGCTACTGTAGACTTCATCGTTGAATCGAACAAAGCCTACTCATCGAGCTAGGCTAGAAGACGTCTGCGTATCAAAACCGCGTTATAGTAGCACCGAATATACACTGGTCCGATACCCGACTCCCTTGCCTTGCAAAGCGAAACCACGCAACTGCTGGATAGGCAATTAGCTCAATCCGAGCTCATCTGCTGCTGATACTGTACATGATTATGACCGGAGCCTTTGATCTTCGCTCAAGAAACCCATGCATGATTCTTTTGAGGGCATTCCAGGTCTTGCAGCTTGCGCCATCTGCAAGGTCTTTTTGTCAGCAGGGGTCCTACCACACCCCTCTTCTTCAACGCTGCATCATGTCTGCATGGGGATCACGAGACACATCCTATCAACACAATTCGTCAGCAGCTTATCTGAGGATACTAAAAGGTGGGATCTGATCCCAGCATATTTCCCGATCAATCCGTTTTTGGTAGTTTCCCGTGCATAGATCCCGCTCTCTCACTGCCCTCGAGGGCTACGACGACAAGGGTGTAGCGATTGGTGGGCATGGAAACCAGGCTGTGATATTGGATGTAAGTCCTCGATGCAGCCATCTTCCGGATAAAGCCGGTCATGTGGCAGCTAGATGCTCGTCAACGTTGCAACTTCCACATCGAGATATCATCGGCAAATGCGGCTACCACAAAGATGTGAGATAGTAGATATAAGACTGCCATTTCCCCTCGAGCCTTTGATTCGTCTAGGACTAGGCACACAGTGTCATCTCAAGCTCCCTCTATCCCTTTGATCAACTGTAATAAATCTGTTATCTCATTGTCAACCCTTACTTCGTGACGCCTGCAAAGTCACAAATGGGCCCTCAGTGTGTTAGACTCGCAAGTCATTGACACCAAAGGTTATCAAAACTTCATCAGGTGCCCTTCTGTTCTCCGGCGACTGAAACTAACACGGCTCATAGAACGACAACTCTCACTACGCGCGAGTTCAAGACCATCATGTCCGCGTGTCTCCGATGCAACATCGCGCCTGCCTTACCCGGCCATCGCTTCTGCAGCCCTTGCGGTAAGATTATACACGCCGGCAGTATGCAGCGTTCGGGACTTTGTATGCGTGGCTGTGGTCGGACTGCGAAGCAAGGTCACCGATTCTGTGTTCCCTGCGGTAGATCGTACTATCGTTAGTTGAGATGGTAAGGCTGGTGTGTGTCGTTGCCTGTACTATGAAAGAAACTTGTTATGGAGCATATTATGGCTTGATCATATCTGAATGCAATCACGAAGTGTATATCGGTCTAAAGCGGTTCAAAATCACGACCCAAATGTGCTGAATCTAAAAGTTGCTGAGGAGAACCTCGTCATGTGCAGTCCTCTATACAGTATCGCTGGCTTCAGTATCTATAGAAGGCAATGAAATCTCTCCAAAGACTTTCTTCAAATGCTTTGACTAGGTCTAATACGGTTCCAAGGCGGTCTTCTGGTTGTCAAGCGGACCTGACTGTGGCTTTGGTATGGGACCAAGCGCAACTGGCCAGGCTTGAAGAAGTTCGCTTGGTGAGTCACGGGACACTAACACAATCTACCTCCTATCGAGAGTCGATTTGGGGCTTATGGGACAAAAATCAACGTTGTTATCTTGAGACCAATGCCCCATCCTAAGCCTGAACCTAAGAAAAGGTGACTAGTAGGCGACGCTTTGGCATATCTAGCAAAAGATGAGGTCCATCCAGGATTCGAACCTGGGCCTACGGAAATTCCGATTATCAGAATCCGACGTCCTAACCAACTAGACTAATAGACCGGTGATAACTGGCGCTAATCTCCCGCGCTGGGTCAGAGAATTCGGAGTGCGCCTGAGAATCTTGTGAGCAGCCAAAGCCACCCACAGCGCGTGGTTGTTGGGTTGCTGGACTACCTTAGGCATCTTGAGTTGAGTTTGAGCGGTTCGCAGTGCGCTTCTCTGAGCGCGTCCAAAACTTTATTGTTGGGGCGAATGATGGGAATTTGGAGAGCCGCTCATTGACAGGGTAGAGGAGCTGTCAGGGAGACAACGATACTGTCGCGTGTTAGCATCGGATCCTCAGGGCTCAGCACAATAGCAGGCAGAGCTCCTAGGTGCAACTTACACTTGCAACATTCGGCGATATCGAGATCGGTTCGGCCCCGAAGTTTTCACAAATTCAAACGCATCGTCTGAGCTTGCTATGCACAGATGCACACGTTTGTTTGCCAATCCGTAGATGCAGGGACTGGTGCCAGCCCATGCTCGTCACTGAACCCAAGGGTTTGGATTTAAGTGCACGCTCAGACGAACCATGTGCACCGTTTCAAAACGCAGCCGATAGATGAACGGCCTTTGTTTCATCGGATGTCAAGATCGGATACCGCCAGGGTGCCTGGCAGCAGCAACGACACACTGGCTTATGGTCATCCGTGAGCCAACTGCTTGTCGATACCTATCTTCCTGTAGTCCCGTATTGTCGATGTTCCTGAATCCAATCGCTCGGATGACCTTCTGAGGTAGCTGCATGAAAGCTGTCTTCCTCAGCCGGATCCTACTTCGGGGCCATCCCCGTAGGACGGCCCATAGGTTGTCTAGTGACTGTAATCAGTTATGCGGCATGCCGACTATGGCGATGACGACGCTGGCGAGGGAATCTATCGCTGGTAGCTGGATAATCGGCTCAAGGATCGGGAGACGGGGGCGGGGCTCCGGACATCGCTTCGCATCAAGTTAATGGGAGGAGGAATCGTCGCCCGGGTTCCTCAGGAGAAGGTCCCCTATTTCGACCCATGGAATCCATGGGTTTGTCGTCTTTTGGCGGAAGCCCACATGGCTGTGTTCCCACTCGAACAGCAACGTCATGTTGTGCCAATGTGGAGAGCCACGAGTCGAGGTTGTCGTTGAACTCTTGAGGCACAGGGAATCTGAGGGAGAGCAATCTCTTGTGAATCGACCAGTGTTGGAGAATGCTCTCACGGCTCCAGGATGAATGCAACCTGGTTCAAGGTATGTTTGCTGTGCTGCAGGTCATCGTTCGTGCTGCGCAATTGGGGTTCAGATGCCGAGGACACAGCGGCAGCCTGCGTTGCGCATACGGACTGCAGGCTGCTGCATGTGGCCGTTGAGACGAAGAGTCCGAGACACGTTACGAGGGCCCGGTTGCACAAAAGCAAAGAAAGGATGGATTCAGGCTTGGCCAGTGCCTTTGCCTGATATTCCAACCTCGCGTGCCACAGCTGACACTGCAACTAACGAGCTTGCAGCTGAACCGCAGTTGAAGTCAGGTCTTCGTGCAGAAATGAGCTGAGAACAATAGGTCAGAGGAAGACTGATGGCCCAAGACCAACAGAGGCCTCATCAGCGGAAACGTGTGGTGTCCGCAAAGCGCCGGCGCTGCGATACGATCTTCGACCCACCGAAAAAAACGTTGGAAGCCGCTGTCTAGGTAAGTCTATCGCAACGTCTCGTTCTTGTGCTTGGTGGCGTGCAACAAGAGCTTTGGATTTTTTTCTTTTTGCCCCCCTTTCGGTCCGTCAAAGGGCCAGAGCAACCGGCGAAAAGTCTTGCCAAGAAACGTTTGCTTAGTTGAAGAGGTTGAGATCGGTCCAGGCTGCCAGGGACAAGGCGGAATGAATGGGCAACCGTTTACGGTTTTGGGCGTTGGGCTCGCTTGAGTGTCCTCTATCTTGGTTTGGCCCACCAGCGGAGGTGGCGCGCCTACCGCGAGTTTCCAGCTGTAATGCGTAAGATTCACAGCAGACTCCAGAGAATTTTCTCTGTATCTAGATACAAAGCCTTCTCACCGGTCGCTGCGGTGGCAGCCGTGGGTCTCGGTAGGCCTTGTGAGCGGCCTAGACGATTCAACCCAGCAAGACTTTGATCAAATGGTTTGCTCGCAGGTCCTCAACGAGTAGTATGTAAGCGCTCGGAACCTCCTCTCAAGGGCCACACAAAGTCGAGTTTCACTTTGTGGCAGCGAAGCACCGGGAAGCAACGTGTACGGGGTAGTGGCCGGCTGATGTGCGCCTGAATGAGCAGTTTCCGCAGACACTGGTGACGGGTTGGTGGCACGAAAGAGGAGTCACGATGGCCCTGTTGCGACGAGGGCCTGTTGAAGGGCCTTGTAGTTTGTGCCCAAGTTGCGACGGATAGGGGCAACGAGGAGGGGCATGGGACGACTGGCGAGGTGACGAGGTTCTAATTAGTGCGAGCGATGCGCGAAGTGGGAGAACTCGAGGAGAGGGAAGGGCGAGCTCGGGCCGTCCAGAGTCAAGACTCCATTGTCAAGCAACGTGAGGAGCTAGGCGATGGTCATGATCCATTACACTATTCATGGCCGGGCGCTGGTCCCTGGCGAGAAGGAAGAATCTCTCTTGACCCCTTTAGAAGTTCTCAGCAATCTTGGTCCACCCAAATCGTTGATCTCCGACGTGATCTCCAGAAGTTTAGGTTGGTCCATGCTGGTGGACATGACGGTGGGGAGGATTTCGGGTTTCATCCGAGGATTTGCGGTTGCAGCTGCAGCCCCCAAGTTTGATTATCGTTGAAGTGCGAGTTTGGACGGAGAGACAAAGATGGGACTGAGACACATGAGACGATTGTGTCCGGGTTGTGTTGCTGCTGGTTACCATCGACGGCCCGTTCAAACTTCACGATGGATGATGGATAGGCTGCGAGCTGCAGGTTGGAATCCAGATTGACCTTTCCGCCCGGACGAAGAGTATCCGCAGGCTGTAGCCGTAGCGGCGTAGGTCAGTAAAATTAAGAACGAGGTAATCGACACTAGAAGAGACTTCTCCGCAAGTGATCTGAACGGGGAATAGGGATGAAGGGTGATGACATTTCCCGGGCGATGAGCAACTGCGACTTTCACTTCCATGTTGCGACTGCACAGACCGTCGGACGAACGTTCTGGGCAGGAAGGAGAGAATCTTAAGATTTGACACTCGACTTTTGGGAAGGACCCCAGGGAGGCGACCAGGGTGAGTCCTTGGCTCCTTGCTGACTGCCCTGACTGGAAGGCGACTTCCTCAGTGACTTCCCTCCTACCGAGTACCTACTCTTTCCCAACTTGCCCAGAGACTCAGTTCCTTCCAAATTCCAAAATGCCGCACTGACGGCAAACTCTTCTTCCTATCCCGTCCCTCTCTAACGCTCCTCCCCACTCATGGACCAACCAACCAACTGGCTGCAGGCACTCAGGCACCCCCGGCCAGTCAGAGCGCACGAGACACTCTGAGCTGACCATCCAGGGCTTAGCGTCAGGAACCATTCTCTCAGTGAAATGCAGGAACGAGCTGGCCAGCCGCGAGACGGAAGGAGAAGAAGCCTTGGGTCTCACCAGCTGGGTCCCGCTTCCACCACACATTAGACCAATGACCAGGTGTTAGTGGCTCGGGGAAATTGTGCAATTCAATTTTTTATGAAAAGCCCACTCACATTGTCGCCGTATCGGGAATAGACGATTCGCGCTCTTCTTTCCTCGTGTGCCACCCATTTCATCCATTTCGCGGCAATTCGCGTCACACTTGAGAGGGATCCAAATGACGAGGTGCAAATTATGCCATTTTACTCTTCAATAATGCTGCCGCTATTCGCCCTGGTAGAGAGCATTGTACGAACGATCCCCGCCCACTAAGCCTGTTTGCGGCTGGCGACAATGCCTTTCTCTCCTTCCTTCTGCTAACCCCGGCTTGACTTTGTCTTGGACGACGAGAATAAGCAAGCCGAGTGATGTACCGTTGGGCTTGTCTCGCCCGGCACAAGGTATTGTTTCCGTCTTAGCTCGGCCGAGCGACTTCTCAGGAGTCGGACTGCCTGGAATCAAGAGAAAGAATAAGAAGCAGAAAAGAATAGAATGGCGCTACTCATGGCGCCGCTTGTCACTGCACGCAACGGATGTTGCTTATTCTGGGTTCTTGCTTCTATTGCTGGCTCTTGAGACTTGCGGATCGTGCTCAGCCCGCGTCAGGATCACACAAGGCTTCTAAGAAAAGCGCTGTCACTGCGTCAGGGCAAACGACAAACGGCTTCCAATCGACGCCCTGCCGATCCATCGTTGTTGGCGTGATGAATAGCTGGCGGTTGGTTGTTTGCACAATTATCCATTCACAAAGCGCACCAAGGCAAGGCGCAAGGTAACGTGGTCGACTGCCAGCGAACGCAATGCTGTGCTTTTGCGCCTTAATTTCCCGCGAAGATCCAGACCCCTGCCTGCATATTGAGCCTGCATATGGGTGGTCGCGTGTACGAATCATCACTGTCTAACATCCGCGGGCAGAAATGTTCATTGTACTTGGTGTCTCCAGGAGGAGGGTGGGCTTGAAGCATGGCCAGCAGGGTTAAAGAGCAACCTTTGGACACGGGTACCTTGCAGCTACTTTTGCGATACCTCGCCGGCCGAGTGACGATGGCCTCCGTTGCTACGATTCGGTTGGCTTTTGCAGACTCTCAGTGGCAGACCAGGTCCGACTTGCGACTCGCACCACAGCAAGCATTTCATCTCCTTTTTCCCTCTCGTGTCACTATCCCGTCCCTGCCGTCCCTGCCGTCTCTTCTTGCTTGCTCCTTCCCCGGGATACATCTGGAAAGAGCTGGCAGGAAAGGACAGGGAAGGTAGGGCCGAGCACCTCCACCTCCTGCCCTCTCACAGGCTCACGGACCACAGCTAACGTCCTTTCCTTCATCCATTTCTTTCGTGGGCCGGGCTTGGCTTTCATTTTGGGTGTGAGCGCCTTCCCTGTCGGCGCCTGCATCGTCGTCGCCCCTGCCAGTCACCTCACAGGCTCACAGTCCACGGGGATGAGGCCCTGCCGCTCTGGAGGATCCTGGACCTCTACTTGTACTTGTAGTCGTCTCCCAGGCAGACTCCCAGGTTGCCAGGCCCCCGGGTAAAGGTACGGACTACTTCGTCGTCGTTGCTCATTTTCACCCGACGCTTGCATCCGTAACCCTCGCCTGATCCGCCTGCCCCCGTCGCTTGTCTCCCCACATCCAAAACCCACGTCGTTTCCCACTTCTCGTGAGTCTGGGTCCTCTCTCCAGCATCCTCTTATTCAAACCACTCCCCCCCGATCCATAACCCACAGACTTCGTTGGCAAAGTCTCCTACTGCTTCACCCTTCTTTCGCTTCACGCACAGTCGTTGAAACCAAACATCACCAAACCTGAACTACTCGAAGTATTCGGACTAACACTCATTCCTATTTACATCCGCGGACAGACGCCGTCTTGTCGCAAACCAACAACAAGCGCTCCCCGCCAAAACCACTCACTGCCCTGGCTTAGACACAACAGCAAACACGCCAACACATATATACATCTGGCCGTCCCATTTCACGCTTAGTACCAAGTCAAGCAGTACGACTTATACCACGATCTTTGAAAGACCCAACACCAAGCATACGCCTCATACTGTTGAACGGATTACTTCCGACGCACATACACATTCGATTCGGTCTATACTTTGTCAGGCTTCGACAGTTGACCAGTACAATCACCAGAAACCCCCACTTACAGGCACGATGAAGGTCACCACGATTCTTGCTGCTTTCTTGCCTGTCTTGGCGCTGGCCCAGACCTCAAGCGGCGATACGACAACGGTCACCTCTACGGCTACCCAGACCAAGACCATCACTCTCGAGCGCGCTCACACCACTACCATGACCTACGGCACCGGCAACAGCACTGCGACGTTCAAGCCTACCGGCTCCGTCGTCGCCTCTGCAACTGCCGCGGCGACCGCTGCAACCACTTCGAAATCCAGTGCGGGCGCCGCTCTCAATGCTGGTAACCTGGCGCTTGCTGGTGTTGCCGGTATGGTCGCTGCTGTTCTGTTGTAAAGCGGCATCACTGGATGCGCTAGACGAAGGTGTAAGGAAATGGAGGACGGGTTATGAGTTGCGATGTGGTTGGAGGAATGTTGCCAACTGCGTCTTACTGCCACGCCGAACTCTTCGATGCGACATCCTTTCAGCCTTTCCTTTTGTCATCGCCTCCAACCCTGGTTTGGCGCAACATCGCTACCGATGTGAGCGCGACCTATTCTTACGACCTTCACAACCTTGAGAATCGGGACACCACTTGAGTTGACGGCACACACACACACACACACACACACTATACCCTATTCCTCTTCGACACCAACCATGTGCGACGCTTGCATCGCCATCCTGCAGGAAAGGAACCGACACGCTAGTCAACGGGAGCTTCTTGACAGCGATCAACCTTTTTTTCACTATCACTTCAAACGACACTGACTGCCCGCCGCCTTTCTTTTATGGGTGGCGGACGGCTTGTCACCTCATGTTTTAATGTTTCGATTCTTCCCCAGCAGCACAAGGGTCGCATGGAATGCGAAGTCGATCTGCCCTTCATGCACGTCATTGGTCTTGATCACCCTGGGCAATCTTTAATATAACCAACAGTCTGGTCTATTAGACTGGCGGATCATGTTGAGGATGGGATCGCGTCAATTCCAGGCCCGATAGTTTTCGGACTGGCGTTGGCTTGAGTACCTGGCCAGCCACTGATGTTGCTGCAAATGTGCTTGCTGGCTGGAAATGATATTTACGAGATCTTTCGCAACGTCTTTCTCAAGGGAGGATTTAAGACGGAAATGATCAAGATGGATGATTTAGGGATTTACCGGAGTTCTCGTGATGGAACAAAAGTTTCACTCTTCTTCGAGTTGTTGATACCCCTATTGCTGTATGGTTGCCGACCGGGGTTGGACAGATCAAGCTGCGATTCTGAGGTTGCCCTTCTCGAAGGATCGACTTTGGCTTCCGCTTACTTGGTTTGTCCGACATTGCCCGTTCGGTAGGAGGACGCGATGGATTTGCTTTGATATTTTCGGACTGATGACCGTTTTGATTGAATGATGGCATGGTCCGAGACGACTTTGCCTTGCGAGGGGGGCTTGGAGGCCATTGAAAGGAGTTTTAAGGACTTGAGAGGCATTTACTGGTAGCATAGTTGAACGAATTCATTGACACGAGCTTATGGCTCTGTTCCATTAAACCCTTGCATTCTTCTATCACGCAAAGTGACAGGGACGTGAAATTCGGCTCATGATCCCACGCAGCATTGGCAATCCTGACCTCGTGATTGGGAAGAACCGGGAGGCGAGTAAGACAACGACCCCTCGGCCCTTCAAAAACAAAACCGTTGGGACGGAAAGCCCCGGCACGCCGACATTTTGATAAGCCTTCTTAATCAGCATTGCCGCTGTCAGACGGCCGGCTGATTCTGATTGGTCAAGGTGCAATCACGGCCCCCCGATATGCCGATTCAATCCGGGGACCGGGGGGTGTTAAGGTAGCCAGCTGCAGGGCCTAATTCCTAGTGGTCATATTTTCTTGGGACCTGTTTTTTTGCCCCATCACAGCTGTTGTCTGCATCAACCTCCCAACCAAGCTTTCTCGCCAGCAACATCGCCGGCTGCTCCAATCACACGGGCAACTTCGAGGGGGAAACAAGCGAAACACCAACGCCAACTGATCATAATGCCATCGCCCATGGCACCTCTTGCCCGCGTGCAGGCTCCTCTGCGGAGGGCTCTCGCCTCGTCGGCTCGCTCCCGAGCCTTTGCCACCGTTCCTCCCACCTTCGGCACGACATCCGAAGCTGCATCGCAACCCCCGAAAGCCCGCAGACCGACCTACTTCAAGGACAAGAGTCTCGCGTCGCTGGACGACTTCATCGCGAGCAAGGGCGACCCCGCGGCCCTCTCCGAGGCTGAGGCCTACGAGATTCGCACCGTTGAGGTCACGGGCCCGACGGGCAAGAAGAAGACCATCACCCGCCTCCCGGAGTGGCTCAAGACGCCCATCCCCGCCGGCAACGAGAACTACAAGTCCATCAAGAAGGATCTGCGCGGTCTGGGATTGCACACGGTATGCGAGGAGGCCAAGTGCCCCAACATCTCCGAGTGCTGGGGCGGCTCCTCCAAGAGCGCGGCGACGGCGACCATCATGCTCATGGGCGACACGTGTACGCGCGGATGCCGTTTCTGCAGTGTAAAGACCAACCGCGCGCCGGCGCCGCTGGATCCCCATGAGCCGGAGCACACGGCCGAGGCGCTGGCTAGGTGGGGGTTGGGATACGTTGTTCTGACGTCCGTTGACCGCGATGACCTGGCGGACGGTGGAGCGCGGCACTTCGCCGAGACGATTAGCAAGATCAAGGCCAAGAAGCCGAGCCTGCTGGTCGAGGCGCTGACGGGCGACTTCATGGGCGACTTGGACATGGTGAAGATTGTGGCGGAGAGCGGACTGGATGTGTACGCGCACAATGTTGAGACGGTGGAGGCGCTGACGCCGTATGTGCGTGATCGGAGGGCTACGTTTGCACAGAGCATCAAGGTGCTTGCACGGGTCAAGGAGGTGAAGCCTGAGATGATTACCAAGACGAGTTTGATGCTTGGATTGGGCGAGCAGGAGGAGGAGATTATGGATGCTTTGAGGCGTAAGTCTTCCAATTCTTCTGTGTTGTACCGTGACTGCTTTCCAGGGGAAAACGACTAACAATGGGAACTACAGAACTCCGCAAAGCAAACGTCGACGTCGTCACCTTCGGCCAGTACATGCGCCCGACGAAGCGCCACCTCAAGGTCGAGAAATACGTCACTCCCGACGAGTTTGAGATGTGGAAGCAGCGCGCGCTGGATATGGGATTCCTGTACTGTGCCAGCGGTCCTCTGGTGCGTAGCAGTTACAAGGCCGGCGAGGCGTTTATCGAGAACGTGCTGCGCAAGAGGGCGGGCGAGAAGGCTGGCATGGCCGCGAGCGGAAGGCTGGGCCAGACTGTTGCTCTGGAGGAGGGTTTCAAGACGCTTTAGACTGGGTTGTTGCCGTACTCTGGCAGCGAGGAATGAGGATGTACGATCTGTGAGGATGGTGATGAAATAGACTGGGGGATGAGATGCATAATTGTCAAAGGGGGGTTAGATGGCATGGTTGGCGTTAATATTTTGGGCTGGACGACGGGAACTTCATTCATCATGGGCATCGCCATCTTTCCCCCCTAGGTGGCACACTTTTCGACATGCAATCTAGGTGGATCTTAGACCTAGAAGAATATACGAATGCCGGGTGGTCTTCAACAATGGCCCCTGAGAGCTACGAAATCACTTCTCAGTCACATGTTACTCCGCATGTGCTGTGTTCAAAGGGGCCCACTGATCCAACTCACGCATGACGGATCTGGAGCAGTCTACCCGCATGATTCAACCTGACTTGTTCCTCCTTTTTCCTGTTCTACCAGTTCAAAAGGGTGGTCTTCGGCGCTTGTTGAACCACGATCATAACTCGGCCGGTGGATGAATCGTTGGAATTCTCAGGTGTAAGACCTCGAACCACCTAGTTGCCTCGTTTGTGGCTGTTCCTGTCAATCGCATACCAATCCAGGAACCCTCTGTATGAGCCAAGATCGGATTCAGGAGGCAGGAATCGAAAAAGTTCAGAGACGTTGGATCTCCGCATCTTCAGCTCGTAGAAGGGAGAAGAAGGCGTGGTCTTGGAAGGACGTTCCAATTTCCCGGCGTTCCTGATGCGCGTTCCATGTACAGAAACTCATCGGATAGGGCTGTTTTCTATGCGTTGAATCGGGGTTTAGTGCATGTGAATGGAGAGACACCTCAACGGTTAAGTTTTGAAGAAGGACACCATCATATATGTTTCTCTTGGTCTTCACCCCTTACCCCCGTGTTCCCTTCGAATTACACGGGGATGGTGAGGTATGAGCGCCTGAGAATGATGGCATACGCGGCTCATGTCTGCTTTGATCTTGGCGTTTTCAGCTGAACATTTTTACGGGGAGTTGTTGGCTTTGGGACTTAGCGATGCTACCCTCGTGCATCGATGAACGGTCGACAAATGCAGCAACCCAATGGCCAAGGGAGCGGCCAAGGATCTGGTAGCCGCAAAGCGCAAGAAAAGCTGGCCTGGACCACCCCAGGCCAGCAGCAATGCACTGTCCCGTCACTTTCCTTCCTAGGCCGGGGAGCGCTTGGCCCTGTTTCCTGTCAGCTTTCCCGAGAAGTTTCTTTTCCGTTCATCCTCGACGACATCCAAGAACTGCGATTATCGAAAGTTGAAACAAGCGAGGCCATAAATGTCCTTGATCAAGAATTAGCATTAACGTAGATCACGTTAGAGCATAGGCACCCGTTGGGGGTAAACGCTAACGGCAAACGTTCAGTCTCCCCTCGTTCCCACGCGATGAGTGGAATTCCACTTCATCCACTGGTTCCCTTCAGACCAAGACATCCTGGATCTCTCTTCTTGGTTGTTACTCGCCGCGAAATGCCCATCCCCTTGGGCCAAGCTCTCATGCTCTCCCACTTCTCTTCGCTCACTCACTCAACATCATCCACAGATCATCAGCACCAAAGCTGATCAGCAGCTGCATATGCATCCTGCAATAATGATGCGCGTTCACGGTCCGAGGGGGCGTCCCTCATTTCCCCCTCATTCATCATTTCCCGTCCCGACCTATCCCATACAGGCCTAGCACACCCTCCAATGCACTCCACTTCCCCCCTCGTGGGTTGCCGGTGAAGTAACCGTAGGCTGGATTTACACTAAAACAAGTGAGAAGCTTGCGTCCTTTGTAAAAGTCTGGCGTACCTGAACGGCGTGGACAGCCAGCCACAAGACGCCTTTTTGACGCCTAGCGGATGACTGCCTCGTCAGCGCGTTGGGCCGCGAAGTAAATATTGGAAGCTTTGCGTCTTTTTGATTGAATCTTGTAAACGAACAGATATGCAGCATTTCACCCGGTCATGGAAGAGGCAAGCAATGCACTCTGAGCCGGCACGATTACCTCTTCGCATCCGATGTTCATTTCTTTCCTGCATGACATAGCATCCACAGTCAAGTTGTCCGCCTGTCCAGCGTTGAGAAGCGAATTGAGTAAGACGCGCGCGGGGGAATGAGTGAGGGAGCGAAGCAGGACCAAAAGCTACGGGAAGCTAAGCAAATGAGACACACTTCTTTGGAGATTCTGCCCACGTTCATCCCCCCCAGTCTATCCCTTTTTAGAACCCTTTATGATAATTTCTTGGTCTATCAAGAAAAGAACGGCAAAACGTCCCGCAAAAGCGTGGTTCTTGGTCTCTGAGAGGCTGAGTAGCGTTGAACCCGTCGTTCCACGGCTCCCACAGCTCTCTCGACCTCGTCTCCTCCACTTCAGCCCAACTCTAATAAAGCATCCCGGGCTTGTCGCCCTTCACCCCTTGTCGCTCCGTCAACTTTGTTTCTTTTTTTTCCCTACGCCTATTCGTACTCATCGTCCACTTACTCGGGACGTCCGGGCCTGAGAGTGTGAGTAGTAATCTACCCGATCTCAAGGTTCGTCCCACTACTGGGGGTCCCTGAATGTCTATAGCTATCTGATCCGTTGCCCTTGTTGCTGATTCTGCTGAGAATCGCGCCACTCCTTTTTCTATTACTTGAATGACTTTCCTGCTCGCGCCTCTCTTTTTCCCTCTCTTTTGATCTTTCACCTTGCTGGTTTATTGTCCAGGAGGGGAAGTGACCACGTTCATTACACAAATCACCACATCGAGTCCCGAACTCATCCACTCATTGAAAACCCACCAGCGCAGTCTATCTCGCTCCTACTTTCACCACACTCATTCGAATTCCTCGTAATTATAGTATCTACACCTTAGTCGAAAAGCAAATCAACAGCCAAACCGTCAAAATGCGCGTCACAGCCGCCTTCTGGCTTGCGGCCGCGACCCTTGCCAAAGCGGCCTACTGGATGGAAGACATTGCTCACCAGGGCATCTCACCCTACCACCCGGACCCGAACTACAAGGTCTTCCGCAACGTAAAAGACTTTGGCGCAAAGGGTGACGGCGTGACGGACGATACCGCGGCGATCAACCTTGCCATCAGCTCTGGTGAGCGATGCGCGCCGGGCAAGTGCAAGGGCGAGACGACGTCGCCTGCTACCGTCTACTTCCCTCCCGGGTGAGTCTTGTGGAAGTGCCACTCAATTGAGCGAGAAAAGATGAGAGAGAGAATGAAGTAGCTGACGATTTGTTGTAGAACTTATCTCATTTCAGGTTCTATCATTGATTACTTTTACACGCAAATCATTGGTGATCCGACCGATCGCCCGGTGATCAAGGCCGTGGCCGACTTCCCCACCAACACCACCCTCGGCCTCCTCGACGGCAACCCGGTATGTAATGAAATGTTCGGAATTCTATGATATTCAGTCATGGATTAAATGCATTTTTTCAATCGTGTCAATTGCATTAGTTGTGTTGTGCGTGGAGTAATTGACTAACACACCCATCACAGTATGGCGCGAATGGCCTCAGCTGGGGAGCCACCAACGTTTTCTTCAGACAAGTGCGCAACCTCATTTTCGACACCACAGCCATTCCTGCCTCTGCTGCTGCTTTTGGAATTCATTGGCCTTCGTCGCAAGCTACTGCCATCACAAACTGCGAGTTCCGCCTTGCTGAGGGCGCGGCGAGTAAGCATATCGGCATCTTCATCGAGGAGGGTTCTGGCGGCCTTCTCAACGATCTTGACTTCTACGGAGGTCAATACGGAGTCAATTTTGGGAACCAGCAGTACACGGCGAGGGGGCTGAGATTTTGGAACGCCCAGGTAGCCATCAACCAGCTCTGGGACTGGGGCTGGACGTACAAGAACATCTACGTCGAGAACTGTGGCATTGGTATCCGTATGCAGGACAACAGCACTTCCTCGATCACTCTCTTGGACTCGGAGTTTGTCAACACCCAGACGGCGATTCGTACTAGCCGCGAGCCCGGTGTCACAGTTCCTGTCACGGCCGGCACTCTTGTGATGGAGAATGTTGCTTTCTCCAAGGTCCAGACCATCCTTCTCGGGCCCAAGAACAACACCATCATCGCCGGAACCTCGAGCGCCACCGTCTCACAGGGCTTTGCTATGGGTCATATTTACACCCCTTCTGGTCCTACGGACTACACTGGTTCTGACGCCGGCTACTTCCCAGTCTACCCGGCCCTCCTCGGATCCTCCACTAACGGCACGACAAAGTACTACGAGCGCTCGAAGCCGCACTATGAAGATGTCCCCTCAAGCCTCGTCATCTCGGCCCGCTCCTTTGGCGCTCGCGGTGACGGTGTGACGGATGACACCGTGGCCCTGAACAATCTCTTCAACTACGTCGCCTCGAACCCTGCCGCAGGCCTCCTCGCTTTCGTCGATGCAGGAACTTACTACGTCTCCGACACCGTCTTCGTTCCTCCTGGAGCTCGCATTGTCGGCGAAGCCCTGGCATCCATCATCATGGGCGGCGGCGAAAAGTTCCAGGATATCGAGAAGCCTCACCCCGTTGTCAAGGTCGCTATCCCGGGCCAGTGCGGAACGATCGAGTGGTCCGACATGATTGTCTCCACGCGCGGATCTGCCCCAGGTGCCAAGGTTATTGAGTACAACCTCAACACCGTTGGTGAGCCGTCTGGTATGTGGGACGTGCATATTCGTGTCGGAGGTTTCGCTGGTACACAGCAGCAGCTTAAGGAGTGCCCTACCACGCCGAATGCTACTGTGACCGCGGATACCATTGACAAGAACTGCATTGCGGCGTGGATGAGTATGCATATCACTAAGCCGGCTTCGTGAGTTACCCCTGATTTTGCATCCTCTGTTGTGAACTACGCAGGCTGACAATCTCAAAGTGGACTTTTGCAGGAGAACTGCTGGATCTGGACTGCCGATCACGACCTCGAGGACCCCGACTACAAGCAGGTCACCATCTACAACGGTCGCGGTCTGCTCATCGAGTCCACCGCCGGCAAGATCTGGCTGTCCGCCTCTGGAGTTGAGCACCACACGCTCTACCAGTACATGCTCTTCAAGACCAGGGACGTCTACATGGGCCAGATCCAATCCGAGACCCCTTACGTACGTATTCCTTCTCATGAAACCCTACTCCTCCACACGAAGTTGACCTTGACGATTAGTACCAACCCAACCCGCCAGCCACGATCCCCTTCCCCCGCGTCAAGGGCTACCACGACCCAGACTTCGAGACAGAATGCAAGGACGCCGACCCCAACGGCCCGCCCTGCAAGATGGCCTGGGGTCTCCGCGTCATCGGCAGCCAGAATGTCGTCGCGTTCGGCGCGGGACACTACTCCTTCTTCAATAACTACAGCACGGCGTGCTGCCAGATCGGCGCCGGAGCCAGGTGCCAGCAGCGCATCGTCGATGTGCGCGATGCGCCTGGTAACTGCACCGCGACGGATAACTTTGACATCTACAACCTGCAGATAGTGGGCACCACGGCCATGGTTACGCGGTACGGAAAGGATGTGGCATTCTACAAGGATAATATTGCTGGGTTCACGGCTGGTATTGCCTTGTATCAGCACTGAGATGTTTACTTCTTGGCTGTATAAGTAATGATGTTCTAAATTCTTTTTTGTCATCACTATACTGAGACAACATCTTCTTCGGCGTGAATGATACTGCTCAGACACCGTCTATCACACAGTGATGAGGCTGGACTGATGATATTAAACATCAGCATGGGTGTCGTTCATTTCCCGAATAGCTGCGCCATCCTTATGTCCTGCCAGCCAATCCTGAGATTCTACATGCGCGATCCTTGTCACTTTGATCCCACCCGCAGCTTTTAGCCTGCACCAGCACTGCATTCTCGACCACCCCCGGGGAGAGGATAGTCAAGAGACAGTGCGAGATTTGCGATTCCCGTCGAATAATTGACTTGGGATTCACACTGGGCAAATACCCTGCCCCCCTCTGCGGGAGTTAAAAACACAGTGGAGATTGGGAAAAAGGATAAAGGGAAACGACCGCCGCTCCCTTTTCTTGTGACAGCAGCAGGAGATGTCATGGAAGAAAGTCTTTCAGTGAGGAGTACCGACAACTGCTTTGGTCAATTTTCAAGAATGGATGGTATGCTTATATCGCATCGAAACAACATTGAACCGATGAATCAATTTCCCATAAACTTGAATGTTGTCTCACTTGCTGAATCCTCCTTCATGTATTTGGCATATTGAATGATGGCGCATAGCGGGTCTCTCTAATATGGACAGTATTTTTACAATACTTCAACATTCTGCACGATGCGATTTCCTCAACGAAAGAGTCAGTTCATGGAATCAAACTTTTATTATGGGTATCATGTCTCCGTCAAGATGCCGGTCCAACACAGCGCCCCTGAACATAACAGAGCAGCATCAGACCTCATACCACAACCTCCTCATGCTCGTCAACGCAACCCAGAGAGCCTCATCTGTCCTGATGTTACGGCTGCCCTGACCAGGCAGGATGTTGACCCAGTGGTCAAACAACTCCTTCGCCTTTGAAGGACCCATATCCATACCCTCGAGCTCCTTGTCGTTCAATGCCGCATACTCGATACCTCTGGGCCCGCCAAACGCAATAAGAAGATGCTTGAACTCCAGGGGCTCGGCGCTGGGGAAGGCCTCTGAGAGTGTGCGTCCGCGCTCCGAGGTACCGATACTGACGTCGTAGCCACCCTCGTACTTGCACTCCGTGAACAGCGCCGTCAGTGAGTTGGCGCGTCTGACCTGGTATCCCCAGTAAAAGCCGCCCTCCTCTCTCGGTGCCGACGGGTCGCACGCCTCGGCCTTTTGCGATCTCTGGTCCGGGTGGTACAGCGTCACGCGGGTGTTAGGCGGCACCTCGTCTTCGATGAGGACCTGGTCCTTGAGGCCGATATCGATCATGGTGCCCCTGGGCGTTCCCTTGCCGGCAACACCCTCGCGGTAGGGGAGCCATTCGGCCGGGTTCGGGTGGTGCGGCATCTCGAGCGAGGGCAGCTGGCTGGCGAGGCGCAGGTTCGGGTGGAGGGGGAAGAGCATCTTGCGCATGAAGGGCGGGACCTCGAGGTAGCCGAGGAGGTGCTCGAGGAAGTGGCAGGGATCGATGTCGCCGGTGTAGGCCTTTGTGTCGACGCTCTTGGGGCGGGATTCGGTCGGGCTGTCGTCGAAGATAACGATCTCATCGACGGAGAAGACGGCGAGAGCGCGGGCGATGAGGCCGGCTACGGAATTGCGGCGCTCAGCTGTGAGAGCACTGAGGAAGAGTCAATCTCTATACAAAAAACATTGGGAACGATTTGCGGTCATACTCTGAGAGAATACTGCTGGGAATTGCAACGGAGACTGTCCACTTGCGGCCGCTGCCGCTCTCTGAAGGGTCGACATAGCTGCCCTCGTCAGTCTTTCTTCTCTGCAGTGAATTAGCAAATGTCTGGGAAAAGTTGCCGAAGATGTGAATACCTTTGCTCCTTGGTCGTAGGCCATTTTGAAGGGAATTGGAGCGCAGGTAATTCTAGTAGCTCTGGAAATGTCGTCTCGAAGAAGAAATCGGGACAATGTTCGCAGCGTCCCAAAAAAGTTTCTGGATGATGGTCCCGCTATCGATAATCCTGGGGTAAATCCGGCAGAACTGCGGAGTCGAGTCTGGCCGCCTTCCTATTCAGGTTCCCGCCACCTTTCCGCTGGGACCAGGCCGCGAGCTATCCGTCAGCTACGCCGCGGCGTCTCTCAAGGGTTCCATTCTGTCTCCTTTCAACTTCGAGACACTTGCGCCAATCTACTAATCCCTCTCGTTGGTTTGTACCAAGTCATCGAAGCCATGAGTCTCATCAACATCCAGTCTGCCGGCCAGTGGCAAGGCATCCTGAGCGGTAACAATGTCGTAATCGCAGACTGTAAGTGGTTTTCTTAGCAGCCGTCCCCCGCGCATCCGAGAGATCGCTGACAAACACTATGACAGTCTACGCCGACTGGTGCGGCCCTTGCAAGCAGATCGCACCTCACGTCGAACGTCTCGCGAAAGAACACTCCAAGCCGAACAAGGTCGCCTTCTGCAAGATCAATGTCGACAGCCAGTCCACCATCGCCCGCACCCACGGCGTCAGCGCCATGCCCACCTTCATCATATTCCACGGCGGCCAGGCGATCGAGACCATCAAGGGCGCGAACCCGCCCGCCCTCACACAGGCCATTCAAAATGCGCTGAAGCTACCTGATAAGGGCGGCCGCTCCGCAGCCTCGTTCAAGACCCCCGGCCGGACGCTTGGCGGGGATAAGCCCGCGCGGGCGAGCCTCCAGCGGCCGTTTGCGTGGCATTACCGCGACATTCTGAGCAACATCATTACGTTTATTGGACTGTACCTGGTGTCTCTGTTTGCGGTACGTTGGTTCACGGTCGATCCGAAGGGGAGCAAGAAGAACCGCCTGCTGACGGACTGGTAGATTGATCCCCACAAGGCGGCCGAGATGTCGCAATTTAACCGCGTGAATCCGCCCCCACCGACGGTCAAATCCACAAAGAGTGCTGGCCCCGGCACAAGACAGCCGCCGAGGGGGCCAGCTTTCAAGACCCTGGCTGATTTGGGTGGTGATGAGTGATATAATCGATTACAGGCGAAAGGCGTTTGGGACTATTTATCTCAGAGTACCTAGAAACTCTACCAGGCTCGAAGAGCATCCTTCTATTGACTATTATACACAACAAATTCCCTGATGCGTTGCAAGCCGTTGAAAGCCTACTGACTTACATTCACGAAGCCATCGCGGCTATACATCGACTGAGTACGTTTCTCGTGATCAGCCATTTCAAATCGATAGAATTGAAGAACCCTTCGCGACTGTTTATGCGCTGGATGAAATGGCAATTGGGGCGCAAGCCAGATAGCATGGGGCTGAGCATCCGTATTGAACATGCTGCATTCTGCAGGCGTTTGTCTGGGGCCGCAGCTGCCTTCGGTCAACGTGAGGCTGGCGAATAGAATCTCTGTCGATGGGGCTTGTCCTGCTTATCCACCCCTCTTCCACTGACTGCCTGGTCTAGCGTCTTACCACTCCTCTTAACCTGGTTCCTATTTCTCTTCTACTTCACTGTTTCTGCCCTCGTTTTCTTCCTCTGCACATTTTCTTGCCCTCTCTCATTTTTCTTTGAATCAGATCTCCTGTCTCGGCTCTTGCTTCTGCTGAGACTCCTCCTGAAACTTAGTATAGCAGACTTCAAAGCTTTTCCAACCGGCTCCTTCGCCTCATATGCATCTCATTAATGTCCATACCCGGTTACTGGAGGAATTCCATGCCGATAAACCGAAGTATGCCATTTTATCACATACTTGGGGACCAGACAAAGAGGAGATAACTTTCCGCGAAATCAAGCAGGGCGACACAAACAAGCCAGGAATCGGATCCGTCAAGCTTGAAGGTTGCCTGCGACAAGCCAAAACCGATGGACTCGACTATGTATGGATTGATACTTGCTGTATCGACAAGACCAATGCCAACGAGTTGGGCGAGGCGATCAATTCCATGTTCCGCTGGTACCAGGAAGCAAAAACATGTTATACGTTCCTCCAAGATGTGCCTTCGAAGGACAACCCCAAGTGGAAATCGAAGTTTCGAAAAAGTCGTTGGTTCACGAGAGGGTGGACCTTACAAGAGCTGCTAGCCCCGAGCGAGCTCATGTTTTACAGTAGCGACTGGCAAGCTTTGGGTACAAAGCTGGAACTGTCAGAAGTCGTAGGAGGCATAACAGGCATCCCAGCACGATTTTTGCTGGGTGCTTCGAACCTACGCGAAGCAAGCGTGGCACAACGCATGTCTTGGGCTTCGAATCGAGAGACCAAAAGGGTAGAAGACATTGCGTATTCGCTTTTGGGTATCTTCAATGTTGTCATGTCACTGATATATGGGGAAGGCGATGGCGCTTTCATCCGACTCCAAGATACGATAATCAATGCCACCACGGACGATTCGATCTTGGCATGGGGCTTAAGGCCACAAATAGGTGTGGTAGATTCTAGAAATCGCCCCAGGGATCTGGTTGGGGGTATTCTAGCCCCTTCTCCTGCAGCATTTGCAGGCTGCGGGAACGTCACATCCAGGGAAAACCACACTCCGACAATAGAGGGGAACATTTTACGCGGTTACCTCAAATTGCGAATACGACTTCATTCTGATCGTTCCGGGGTCACATATGGCCTTCTCAGCTGTCGATACGACAAAGATGGTAGGGAAAGAGTTGTAGGGATTCCTCTTTCCCGCACTGCGCCTGGAGATTCAGGCGGCGAGTACATCAGACCAAAGAATAGCAAGACAACAATGTTGCCCGACGTGGCGTGTGATACCCCAGTGTCATCCATACACGCTTTGGCGTCAATAAGTCCCGAAGAAACTCGGGTGAAGGACTGTCGTTATGGATTCTCAGTCGAGAACATATTTGCTGAAGGCCTCGAGTTGATCGATGTCTGGCCGACTGATTGTTGGGACAAGGATAATGCTTTCTTCTATACTGGCTTGGACTTCCACAACGAATCGACTCAGCGAACATGGGCCAGATTTCGACCTGCTCATTCTGAGAATGATCTTAACGACTTCATACTTGCCCTAGAGCTCACATCGACCAAGAGTCATTCAGCTGCGAAGTGCCACGTCATGGTAGCATCAAGGAAGACGACTCTGAAGAAGATTGCATATGCTCCGCTCGTGGAAGAGTACACCTTCGGGAACGGGAGCGCCTATAACGGGACCATGAGTATCCAAGCAAAAGTTTCTAGACAACGACATGGGGCAGGTGTACATCCGGTCTATGCCGTGAGTGTGGTTCCGCAGAGCAGCCAGCCCAAGTCCACCGTCAATTTGACGTCTGAGATTGAGCTTCTCGATCACAGCATGAACGTGCAGAGCATCTTCCAGGAAAGTCAAGATATAACGCCAAAGCTTAACAAGTCGATTAGTTCCATAGAGACCGAGGCAACGGCTCTTGATTCCGCTAAAGCACGACTCAGGGATGTACAGCGGCAGCTCGATCAGCTAGAGGCAGAGAAGAAAGATCTCATGCAAAAAAAGGAAAAATCCGAAATAAGGCTAGAGTCGTCCTCCCGAGACAAGGAAAAGTACGCTTCAATAGAGAAGAAGTTGCTTCAAACACTTTTCACGGCGCAAAGTATGCACGCGGCCAGCGGAGAGAAGAGGGCTTCGAAATGGAAAGACTCAATTGTGACCTATCTATCCGAAGATCTTTTCAAAGCCAAGAAAAAGCAAAACGCAGCAATTCAATCCATGGAGGACGTATTGCAGAGGACCTTTCTGCAAGCAGTCGTCAAAGGAAACATAGCCGCGATGCAGTTTCTGAAGAAATCCCTTCCAAGCCTCGACTTCAACGATTCTAAAGGGCGCGGTGTTCTAGCCTGGGCGATTGTCAAAAAGAACCTGTCAGTTGTGACTTGGCTGATAGAGAACGGCGCCAGCATCAACGCAAAGGATGGCTACAAGATGACACCTTTAAATTGGGCTTGCTCGGAAAACTTCTTACCAGCTGTCCGGCTCTTACTTCACTGGGGCGCGCATACCGAAGACATGGACCAGGATGGTCGAAGGCCTTTGCACGTTGCCATTCGAAAAGACAACCTTTTGCTCGCACAGTGGCTGTTGGATCGTGGAGCAGGTATTGAAGCCAAGACGGAAAATGACGAAACGCCACTGGAGCTTGCGGTCTCGGGAAAGTCCATGGCATTGATAAACCTGCTCCTCGATCGAGGCGCAGATCTCGAAGCACCGGGTTCGCGTGGCTCGACTGCTCTGTCTAGAGCTGCCAGGTACGACGATAGCCATGACAGTGCTCTCCTGCGTGTCTTGATTAATCGTGGAGCCAAGATCAAAGCACGCAGCAAAGACAAGAAGTGGACACCCTTGCATTATGCAGCAGCTTATGGGTGTACTGAGGCTGTGGAATTGCTCCTCAGGGAAGGGGCAGACGCCACGGCCAAGAGCTCGTCAGATGTTACTCCGTTGATGAGTGCAGCCGAGAACAGAAGAGACTCTGGGCCTCTCCGCTCGTTGATAGACCACGGCTCGGGCAACGAAGTAATTGAGAGCATGGGGGAAGCATTGCTAGCCTCAGCGGCACGATATGGATGCGCCGAGTCTGTCAAGTTGCTGCTCAATCGGGGGGTTTCTATCGAGTCTAAAGACGAAGATGGATGCACACCTCTAGCAAATGCGGCTGAGGAGGGAAACAAGAAGACGGCCGAAGCACTGATTAAACGAAAAGCCAAAGTAGACTGCAAGGACGCGAACGGTCTGACTGCCCTCTCTTTAGCGGCGCAGGCTGGACACGTAAGCCTAGTCCAGTTGCTTGTAGAGGGTGGTGCTAGGATTGATCGGAAAGACGAGACTGACGGCCGCACAGCGCTGCATTGGGCCGTTCTGAAAGACCGAACGGCTGTCATTGAGGAGCTCCTGGAGAGAGGGGCCAACATCGAGGCGACTTCAAAAACTGGACACACTGCAATTTACTACGCCATTCGCAACGGCTTCGAAGCATCTTTCAAACTTCTCCTTGAGAAAGGCGCAAGTCTCAGCGTGGAAGGTCCCCATGGGAAAGCCCCTCTGGCGTATGCCCGGGATGTGGCTCAGAAGCATAAGAAGATAGCGAGTTTACCGGCAATGAAGGAAATCATCAGGTGTCTAGAGAAGCAAACCTCGGAAAAGGACAAAGCCAGAATTGAGGAGGCATGATTTTAATAGTAGTAGAATAGATGATATCAATGAGAGATAGACTGTTTCGAGTTACTTGACTTTCGTCCAAAACCACATGTCTTTGAAGCATTGAAGGTAGTCAATTGACAACCGCCATGAGCTCTAGTGAAATCGACTCAGACACGCTGTAAATATGTTAAGTATTTCTATGGATATTGTAGAACATCTCATCTCAACGGCTTTCAGCGAATAACGCAGGTTTATCCGTCAGATCATTGTAAGGTGAGCCTTTGTAGCAAGATACTAAGAAACCCCCACAGCTTAGAGCTTTGTAAGAGAAGTTGGGAACTCGAAGGCAGTCTATTCAAAATGACATGTGGAAATACCTAAGATACCTGATAGATAAAAGAGAAACTTACAAAGTAAAGCGCAATTGCACAGACTTAAACACAGAGTGAAAAGGCGAGTAACTCAGCTTTTCAGCCAACACAGGTTACTCGTCATGCGTCTGTCACTTCGTTGCTGCATTTGTTGCAGCTTGAGATCTTGAATACCTGGAGGTTGAATCTATGTAATGCTTGGTAGAATGACATTGGTGTCGAAGCCAATCGGGAGCGTTTCATTTCCAACAAGTGGGGCGCCGATCTTTGAGCTACCCAAATTTCAATGCTCCATGCGACAGCTCCTAAAAGGTCACGGGCGACTTTTCTCCTTGACAACTTTGCGTTGCCACCAATCCACAACCTAAAGGCAACCATGTTGACAGCAGGCGGCCTCCGAAATGCCTGTCCCAGCTGTCGAGCTCGACTATCGAGCTTGGCTAGAAATAAACTAGGTGGTTCATCTCCTGTGGGCCGACAGCTTCAATTAAGCTTCCCGCGACAGAGCAGCCTAGCTGCGACACGATCATTAGACCGACCTGCAAGCATTCGCAGGCCATTTTCGACAACATCACGAAGCTTGAAAGACCCCGAGTCCAAGAGTGACGATACCGAATCGCTCGCGCGCACCGCCGAAATCGAGAAGACGGTTCGAGAGGCAAGGCAGCGATTCCGAGATACGTTACCCAAGGGGTATCTCAGCGAGGAGGAATACACACTATACGAGCGGTGGTATGGTCCGCCTCTGAGGGAGACATCACCAGAGGATGTAGGAATAAAATACTTGAACGACGAGCATTCTGCAGGCGTTCGACGAGATAGGTCCGGTGGCCCAACTCTGCTGCGCCAGGTCCAGGGTGGCACACTGCAAGAGGTGCAGTACGCCCACAAGAAGGCGAAAAAAACGGCCGAAAACAACGATGAGCCGGTTTCGAAGACGAGCGATGAGCTTGCTGCTCCTGCTGAGGTCACAAAGCCTGACGCGACCGAGCAAGCACCGCCAGAAGGCAGCGACAAATACATCAACATGGTGGCGAGAAACAAGAGGGAGTATGACGCGCTCATGATGCTGCAGAAGGATTTCGAGGCCAATGCCCGCGCCGTGGAGGAGGAAAACAGGGAGATGCTGGAAGAGGACGAACTGCGGGACGAGGAACGGGAGTTCGAAGAGGAAGAGGAAGAAGAAGAAGATTTCGACGAGAGCCAGGATGGCATCCAGGATCAAGGGACTTCTAAACGGGCAGGACGTCTGCACCCTTTCTCAAGGGAGGGCCACTTCTCGACAAACCCGAGCACAGTTAGTCTGCCGTATGGCGGGTACATTGCACCGGTCACATCGATGCTCGACAGAACAGACATCAAGCACGTCAAGGAGGCTGCCGAGAAGGCATTCGGAGGCCCTGGTCTGCCGCACTCACCCGCTACGCCGGCATCCCAGATGGGCATGGAACAACAAGCCATCGGCATGGCTGTCTGGCAGAACAAAATGTCCGACATTGAGGCAGACGCCTTCGTGTCTGCCTTCCTGCCTCCTGCTTATGCCTCGGCCATGGGAAGCTTGGTCGAGGTTCGCAAACGCCTAGGCACGGACTGGCTGCGCAACCTGTTCAAGAACGGGAGTGGGCCTCGCGTTCTAGATGTTGGCGCTGGTGGTGCTGGTCTTTTGGCCTGGCAGGATGTGTCGCGCGCCGAGTGGGACGCCATGAAGTCCCGCGGGGAGGTCACTGAGAAGAACCCTCCTGGAAAGCAGAGTGTGGTGGTGGGATCGGAAAAGTTGCGGACCCGCGTCACCAAGTTCTTGCAGAACACAACTTTCCTCCCCCGTCTTCCCGACTACCACCACTCAGTCGAGAACGCGCATCTTCACCTGGATGCCAACGAAAATCCCCAGCCGAGGAAGATGTTTGACATCATCATCGCATCTCACCTGATGCTTCCTGTCAAGGAAGGCCACAGACGCAAGGCTATTCTAAACAATATCTGGTCACTTCTGAATCCCAACGGCGGTGTCTTGATCTTGCTGGAAAAGGGCCAGCCCCGCGGTTTTGAAGCCGTGGCTGACGTTCGCGAGCGCCTGCTTACTGAGTTCCTCGTCCCTCCTGGAGGTGAAAATCTTACCATGAGCGAAGAGAAGAACCCAGCGTTTGAGAGAGAAAAGGTACCTGGCATGATCATTGCGCCCTGCACAAACCACCGCGGGTGCCCGATGTACCAAGTTCCCGGAAAGAGTACCGGACGCAAGGATTTCTGCCATTTTAATCAGCGCTTCGTGCGTCCGCCGTTCTTGCAAAGAATCATGGGTGCCACACACCGCAACCACGACGATGTGCAATTCAGCTACATCGCCATCCAGCGCGGTGTCGCAGCAAAGGAGGGACCGCTCGCCGGCGCAGAAGCCGCCGACAGGGCCTTTGAGGGCTTCGAGACGTCCGAGACAGCACCTGACATGCTCTCCCTGCCCCGCCAGATCCTCCCACCCATCAAGCGTCGCGGTCACGTCACGCTCGATGTGTGCACGCCCAACGCGCAGATTGAGCGCTGGACCGTACCGAAGAGCTTCAGCAAGCAGGCATATCACGATGCGCGCAAGGCCAAGTGGGGTGACCTCTGGGCGCTGGGCGCGAAGACGCGCAACCGTCGCAACGTGCGTCTGGGCAGGCCCGAGGTTCTTGACGATGGCGGTCTTAGAGCTCAGCGCCAAAAGGCGGCTGCCAGCAAAAAGAAGAGAGTGATTGGTGTCGATATCAACGAGACGGGTGTTATTGGCTCAGATGAGGGCAGAACAACTGGACCGCAGCGCAAGACGAGCAGGAAGGCGGCTCGTCAGCAGCTGTTGAAGAGTCTGGCCAAGGCGGACGAGGAACAAGTGTAAGCTTGAGGTGTAATAATAGGATTATGTACAAAAAAGGGCGGGAAAAGTATTGTATCAAGACCACGAAAACCGAATAGACCTTGGATGGGCGGGAATAGAGGCATATCACGGTCTGCCTTGCCTTGGGTAGGCACACAGCTCAGAGGATTGGCTAACCACATCATGTTACAATACCACAACTCAATGATTTGACAACTCTTTCTTTCTCAAGGCCAAGCATGCAAAGCGCAATGTTATCTGATGTCTAAACCAAAAGTGGCGGGACCTGGTGTTCGACACCGGAGATGCATCGGCGAGCACAGGTCGAAGGAGGTACGATAACTGAAGGATCTCCGGCGACGGCTCCGCGGGAGTCGGTCACTAATGCCGCTGATTGGTCACGCCATCGCCCTGGGCCTTCAGCGCGTTTGCGGTGGTCACGGTGCGGGTGGTGCGCCGATAAGGGAGTTGGGGCCACTGGGGCGGACGGCTATCGGGATGGTGTCATCGCCAGCGAATGAAAATTTGGCCAACCAACGTTTTTTGCCCGCCGCATGATTGGGTCCCACGGGTCCCCGGCCGTCTTCGGGCTTTGGCAGATTACCTTATTACTTAGCTTCACTCAAATCTTGGGGGAGGACAATGAGTGAGTAATTCATATCAATGCTTTATTTCTCTATTTGACTTCAGAGTTATGAGAGTTTGTTGATTTCTATTGCTCGTTCTCGACTCATTTGCCATCCATTCGGTCTCACTTGGACTGTTGGTTCTTCGACTACGACCTCTGTCGCATACTCCACTTAGACAACCCTCACTGAACCATCTAGTGAGACGGGGATCGTGTACTTGAACTCGAGAGAAGAAGAAGAATAAGAAGAAACAAGAAGAAGAAGACTCATCATCTTCACTCACACAGCTCAAGATGGCGACAACAACATCACTCCTCACATCCCTTAACTGCAAGGGCAACACCCATCTCATCATCGGCACAAACCCCCTCGCCGCAGCCCGCTGCACACAAACCATCAACGCCGGCGCAACCCCGATCCTCATCGCCCCAGACACGCAAGATCTCCACTACGGCCTCCAGAAGCGCATCGACGCCGGTGAGGTGACATGGCATAGGAAAGCCTTTGCCGACACAGACCTCTTCACTCTAGGCCGCGACGAGGTCGATAATGTCGTTGACGCCGTCTTCGTCACATCTTCTTCCTCTCCGCAAGCAGCTCAGATCTCAGCGCTATGTAGGCGGCACCGTGTACCCATCAATGTAGTCGACGCGCCGCATCTCTGCTCATTCTCACTTCTATCAACACATACCGATGGACCTCTGCAAATTGGTGTTACCACAAACGGTCGCGGCTGCAAGCTCGCCTCCCGCATCCGGCGCGAAGTCGCCGCCGCGCTTCCCCGAGACCTTGGCGCTGCCTGCGCGAGATTAGGCGATGTGCGCAGGCGAATCCAGACAGAAGACCGTCTCGCGGCAGACGAGGTTGACGATTCGTTCGACCAGACGGCATCATTCAACAAGCTCGTCACCGAGGCCGATCTCGACGCGGCAAAGAACCGGCGCATGAGGTGGCTGAGTCAGGTGTGCGAGTACTGGCCCCTGAAGCGTCTCGCCGCCATCAACGACGAGGACGTCGAGTCCGTACTGAAATCGTACTCTGGCTTCGGCAACCCAACCGAGGAAGCGAAACCACCACCGGTCATCGCAACAGGTGGTGCAGCACGCCCGCCGCAGCAGGGGAGAATCATCCTCGCGGGCAGTGGCCCAGGACACCCGGACCTCCTGACCCGTGCAACCCACAAGGCAATCCAGACAGCAGACCTCATTCTCGCAGACAAGCTCGTCCCGGCCGGCGTACTCGACCTCATCCCGCGCCGCACGCCAGTCAAGATTGCGCGCAAGTTCCCAGGCAACGCAGACCAAGCCCAAGAGGAACTCCACGAGCTTGCGCTGGCGGGCGCGAAGGAGGGCAAGACGGTGCTGAGGCTGAAGCAAGGCGATCCCTTCATCTACGGCCGCGGAGGAGAGGAGGTGGCGTACTTCAGAGAGCACGGGTTCGGGGAGCGGGTGACGGTGCTACCGGGCATCACATCGTCGTTGAGCGCGCCTTTGTTTGCGGGAATTCCGCCTACGCAGAGGGATGTTGCGGATCAGGTCCTCGTGTGTACGGGGACCGGGAAGAAGGGCAAGGCGCCGACGCCGCCGGAGTATATCCCTAGTCGGACTGTTGTGTTTTTGATGGCTTTGCATCGGATTACGGGGCTAGTCGGAGAATTGATGACGTACCTCGACTCGGAAGTTGCTGTGGGCGAAGGGGAGGAGAAGAGCACGCCGAAGAGGGCGCTGTGGCCGAGGGATACGCCGTGTGCTGTTATTGAGCGGGCGAGTTGCCCTGATCAGAGGGTGATTCGGACGACGTTGGGATATGTTGCTGAAGCTATTGAGGCTGAGGGGAGCAGGCCGCCTGGGCTTCTTGTTGTGGGTAGAGCATGTGAGGCGTTGTACGAGCGAGAGAAGGGAAGGGCGTGGGTTGTTGAGGACGGATTCAAGGGATTTGATTTCGAGGAGCTTCCCGGTTTGTCATGATATTTCCCACGCCGTTTTGTGGTGCTTGGAAGGGTTCCCCGTTTGCTATGAGCCACGGCTTCTGCGTCAGTAGTTTCTTGATATCATGGGTTCATGCGCGTACGGTTAGATGAATATCTCCAGGGAACGAGGCGGCATTGCAAGGCGCATTAAAAATCACAAGCGAATTCAGTTCAAACTACACCCCCTGTCTAATGTTCAAGATACAACGCAAACAAGACACGGACTCCAACGCCTTCCTGCGAAGACCCTGGGAGCTGGCCTTGACGATGCCAACCTATCTTAGACTACATGCGGACCCCTCGCAAACACAAATCTAGCGCCAGACTCCAAACTCTCTGCAAAGTTCCACCTTAAGCATGAATCTGTCTCAAAGCAAGATCAAAGAGCTGGCTGAAAAGCCATGCTGCAGTGTTGTTAGCAACATTCTGGCAAAGGGACTATCGTGAGACTCGAGGAGTCATGTACTTACCGAAGACTAGCGTGGCAGCGAAACGAACGAGACCACATGCAATACGTGCTAATTATATCGGCTGCACACCTCGCTTATCCAGAGGCTCAAGTGCCGCGTCGATGTCACCGTTGACCGCTTTATGCCTAATGTTACGGTCTTCGTCTGGGGGTATGGATCAAGGCCCGTCTTCGTTGATTCCCTCTTCTCTTCTCTTCTCTGAGCTTGGCTTCTGGCTTGCTGTCTATCTCATCAAGTAGCTGAAGGAGCCTGGCTTTGTTCTCAAGAGACGATAGCTCAATGACCTGTCGTGGGTGTAGCTTAAAACAACCTTTGGAGGCATAGAGTACGCCCATGAAACCTGTGCTGAGTCCAATTACCAGGCCGTGTTACTTGCTATCATGGTCTGCAAGCATTAATATAATGTCATTGCTCTCGATCGAAACTACAAAGTCGAGGTCTGGACCGTGGTATAACAGCTCTTCAATAGCATCGCCTATGGTGTTGTCATCCAAGCCCCACTCACGGTGCCGTGGAACCATCCGGAATAGTAACTGTGAAACTGAGAGAGTACAAGGGGGTTTGCAGCCATTCCAGCGAAGGACTGTGCTTGGTGACATGAAGCTGCGCTTAAGAAAGGTCCTGCACAGAACCCCTGTTGCGATGAAAGGACCATGAAGAAAGGAGCTCTCATGGCTCAGCCTCCCATCGGCGAGGTCAACAAGAAATTTGCTCATATTGTCAAGGACGTATTGGACCAGCGCCAAGGCCTTCAGTCTGTTGGCCGGAGTATCTCCGGTGTGCTCTATTGACCATGAGACATAACCCAGATCTTTTGATCTTATACAGCGAAAAAAGAGCGAGCGCGTCCAGAGTTGCTGAGTAGCGGACCCGAGTACAAAAGGAAGTTGGATGCCAGTCTTGGAAACGCATTCGTGGCAGTAGCAACAACGACCTTCTGCCTTGCAACATTCCTTTGAATTGTTTGCAAGCCAGGACACCAGGAAGGACTTTTCGAGCCAAGAATCGATAGCATTGAAATACTCGAAATGCTTTTACTCACAGTAAAGGTCAGGGCGGATATCCTTCCTGCATATCCGCAGTATCTGATTGATGGATATGGACATCTCTGCTGCGGATTTCTCGTGTGTTGAAGCAGAGCAGCCGGGATACGGGAAACAATGAGGGAGCCATGCCACACGCTTGAGAGCTTCCAGGGAGTCAAAATTTCTAAGACATGTGTCCATTGCCTTGTCAAAAATTCTTTGACTGAGCGATGCGCAAAACCAAGCTCCATAGACCAAGGTTCGTCAACTTGAACAAGTCCTTTGCAAAAGCCATTCACTATCTTCCAGCAACGGTGTAACTCCTTGCGCAATAGCGAGTCGCACTCTCATTCTGATACATATTGACTATTGTCTTTGTAATAGTAACTTGTGAAAAGTTCTTGATATGAAAATTGCTGTGATTCCTCAATGACAGATGCTCCCCATGCTGTGATCCGCTTCTGTCCTCATTGATCTTGGTAGGTTTGAGCTCGTAACAAAACAGCGAGGACTTGGTAGGCCCGTCTTCGATCTTTAGGTGTCAATGACTGGATTATGTGGGCAAATAAATCGTTTATTTCCTCGGGAAGCTGGTTGATATGCCGAATCAAGCTTTCTAGATCGTGACGGTTCACGATCTGTCCCCGAATATCTTTGACGACAATTGCAGCCCAGAAGAAGATAACTTGTGCTTTCTCGAAGATGACCTTGCTGATAGAGGCAAGCACATTGGCATCTTCAATATTTTGCAACTTTTCATCAATATACAGAGCCATGTCCCGTTTGCTTAAGTCGTGCAAGCAGATTGACTGCTGCGGCGCGGACATCTTGAGAAAAGCGTTCAGCGGACGGCTGGCAACACAAAACTTGATGTCTCTAGATGTGAGAGAATACTAGCGATAGATGATCTCAGTCAGATCAAAATACGAGCACTCTGTCGTTTCTTGAAGCTCGTCTAGGCCGTGGATGAATAGGCAAAAACCGTAGTTCTGACTTATGCCGCTCCCTTGAAAGAGTCGGTCAAGACCTTGTAAGGATTGGGAGGGCGAAATGTGCATTCGTTCACCGGCCGGCGAAGGGGATGTATACACCGCCTCCCAGAATGAGGGAAGGGCATGGGTTGTGAGATCAGGATGAGCTGAGAGAACTTCATGGAGCAGTCCGAGATATAAGCCGGAAATGGGCCTCTGTCGCTCGCTCCCAGAGTTCCAGAAGAAGAACTTGGCGCATACTAGAGTCTTGTCTCCTGCAAATATTCTTGTCAGATTGCTATTCCATTCAATCCTTCAAGAAGGGACAACTCACCTGTCCAAGTATTACGCCGCTTTCGGCTCTCACCATGGTTGATTATTATCTTCATCAAAGTCGACTTTCCAGCTCCGATCTTAGCTGAGAAGTGAAACACTCCGCTGCCTGAAGACAGCCACTGTGTAAGCTTCTGCTGGATGTCTCGGCGCTCTTCGGAAGTGGGGAGGTATTTTGGTGACGGGATTTGATCTGGGTCATGTGAGATCTCTCTGGCAAGACGTGGGAAGTGGCCCTCGTCACCTTCTGTACAAATTACAAGCGGGTTCTCTTCCGCAAGAGCAGACGTAATGTCGACCTTGAGTTTCATGTCCTTGATCACTCCAGTCCCGCTGTCGGATAAAAGCTCATTTTGGCGACCATTCGGGCAGTCGACGTTGCACCTGTCATCAAAATCATCAGCCAGTATCCATCGAAACGGTTTTTCATGAGCTTCACAAATCGTGTCATGGCGGTAGTACATCGTGTCGAATTCGAGACCTCTGAGAATGGACCCCTGAGCAAGGCGTTCAAGCGAACGTTCAGGTATGCGGACAAGCTTCTGGATGTCGTCTTTGATAGAGTCTCGAAGACTGCAGACATCGGTACTAATTTTTAAACCCTCGATAGAGCCTTTGATCTCTTGAAGCCGAGCAAAGTCTATCTACTGCGTTTCCAATCATGATGTTGAGTCTCGAGATGATTTTTCTACTGTTCTGAAAAGTTAGCAAGAGCGGATTATACGTGTTTAGAAAGGAGAACAAGCCTTGTTATGTATGTGAGCTGAGGACCGATCTGGCTCTGGCAGGCGTTGAGTTTAGTCTGTAGTGATTTCAAATCACTTTGATATTTCACCCCTTTCAAAACCGACTTGATTGCCTGTATTCCGGAAAACGCCTTTTTGGGTCGTATGCCATCAATAAGCGTAAGAATGTCCTCACAGATTTTGCAGCAGTATTTGGCTAATGCGCAGAGGACCTTTTCGTCGTCATCGAGGCCCATGGGATCCGGGGTCTGGAGATCGTCCGCGAAATGACGCGTTTGCTCAGCAAATCTCTGCAGGCTGGCAGCTTCTTCAGTAAGACCTGACGAGGATCTTTAGATTATTTTGGCTTCTATAAGACCTTTGAGGCCAAAATCGACAAAGGCCAAAATGTTTGCCACCAGCCCGATGGCTGTCAGCGGATCCATCCTGTGTTGCGAGTAGCAACTCAGGACACTGCGGTGGTATGATGCAAAGTGATGATCTTATTCTTGGTGGAACCGTTTCTTGGGAATGACTTCACAGAGAGGACATCTGTCTAGGCTTATATCCATTAATTTGGCTACAGGTTGATGTCGTGGGATCGAAGCAGTGCTTGAATCAATGTTGGCCAACAAGAAGTAAAGGCCTCGGCCATTTGTTTCTGGCGCAATCGTATGCAAGCCAGTAAAATGATAATGAAACAGCATCGTCTTTTACAATGGTGTAATAGACAACTAGAGCCTAAGGTACGATGGTCAATCGTGTACCCCTTTATTCGAAAAAAAGAAAGAAAGAGAGAAAAGTCCGGAGCTCTGGAATGTGCTGCGGATTCCACTCAGAGGTCTTCTTGAACACGGCAGCTGACAGTTTACGTCATTTCGGACGTACGACTGGCTTTCTAGCACGACCAAATATCAGGCACCGAATTTCATCTGCGACTTCATTCATGATTGTGCACCAGCATCATTTTCATCAACTTCCGCAAAATCCATGGGCAAGCTTGATGACCTGAAGAACAGTTCACAATATGAGATGCCTGTGATCCTTCCTGGTACCTTGCGGTGTGTTGACCGGTGAACCAGAGTTTAGACGATTCCATTACGCCTTTCAAGAGCTTCGGGATTGGCTGGCACGGCTGGCAATAAGAATTCCCTGCTACTGCATCCTTCCGCTTATTCAATACGACATTGCGATTGCGCTGGTGATGCGAGCTGCTCTCTGACTGGCCCAGCAATCATTGAATCGACAAGAAGACGACCTGCTAGCCTCATCACACCGCGGTAAAAAGGCTTCCGTGCAGTCGATCAGCCTTGATTTAGTGGATCGCGTTCCTCTCAGAGTTTAGTGATGAAGCATTAGTCTGGCCTAGCTCAAGAATCTAAGCCACCGCAGACCCCTGCACCGTTGGATCGGACATTAAACACTCGGCTGTGTCGGCGGCGTCGACCCCGTCCGCAATCTCGTTGGGAACAGATTAATGTCTCTCTGGCCCCCCCCGACTCATCGACCCCGTGTCCGTACGCCAAATCAATTCTTTTCACCCCGTGTCCGTAGCGATGCTGCTTCTTCCATGACCGTTTGGCTAACCACACCGAGGACTCCGAACCGCCTAGCCCCCTTCCCTTCCCTTTCCCCTCCTCCGTGTTGCGCCGCCGCCGCCGCCGCCGCCCCTCCGTCAGCACGTATCCCGTTGTGCGTCTGCGTCATGGAGTCTCGCCAACGCAGTCCAACCCCGCTTTTGAAGACGTGTCGCACATGCGCCCACGCCAAAATCAAGTGCGATCGTTCCCAGGACTCCAACGTCTGCGATAGATGCCTCCGGCTGGGCAAAGATTGCACATATGCTGTGGCCCGCGGGAGGAAGCCGCCCGGACCGCGTTCCAGGTAGTTCTCACAAGTTTCCTTGTCCAACATCGGGTGGTTGCCGCCGAAAACTGACGCGAGAGACGGCGCAAAAGGTCCAACAAATCGCTGCAGGTTCCGGAGAGGCCGGCCCAACCCGCCCAACCTGTGACCGAAAGTCCTTCCGCCTCTGAAAGCCTTACGCCCGATCAAACCCGGACTCCTCCGCAGCTTGCTGCCTCATCTGGTGGTTCATCCACTCAACATCCCCGAGCCGGTGATGCCGGTCCAGCCGGTCGTGGCCTTGGCACCGGCGTACATGACCCGTTCGAGGCCGGCCAGCTTTCTATCGACAAAGGCCAGGAGCTTCTTGAGAGGTTTCGTACCAAGTTGACACCTCACTTCCCATTCATCATCATACCAGCATCAGAAAATGTGAGCTCTTTGAGACAGTCAAGGCCAGCTTTGTTGCTCGGCCTTCTCGCTGTCTCGTCATACGATGATGTCCGGCTGCAGCGAGCACTGGGCCAGATGTTCAACGACCTCATCGCGGTCCGCTTGGTGAAGGGTGACTTTGCCTGTCTCGACGTACTCCAGGGCCTCCTCGTCCATCTCGCCTGGTAATGCGAAACCACACTAGCCCTCCATGTCCCTGGCACTAACCTCGTCACAGGGCCCACTTCCAACCAAGGCCGAAGAGATACTCACAGCATCTTCATCTAGCTACGAGCATAGTGTCTGATCTGCGTTTCGATAGGCCAAAAAACCCGAAACGTTGGAACGTTGAGGGGATGAGCACTTCACAAGACTATGTCGACTCGTTAGATGAACGTAGGACGTTTCTTGGGACGTATTATCTTTCATCATGGTATGTCTGCCAAGTCAACAGTTCCTGCAGGCTCTGGCGTTGGGCTCCCGGCTAATCTTCAAATCCTCGCAGCACAAGCATCGTGCTCCAGAAGCTTCGCATAGTCACCCTTTCGAGTTATATCACCGAAACTGCGGAGAGGCTAGCGGAGATCTCCGAGTACCCCACTGATCAGTACCTTCCGTACATCATCAGCCTACAGCGGTTAGCCGAAGACATTGACGACATTGTGAAGAATGAGTCGACATTGGATCCTATGCAGATTCAAGCTGCGGTATCAGAAGCTAAGGAAAGGGTCGACGTGTTCAAGGGTGGGCTGACCTTCGCTCTTGGCGATTGTCGTAAGTTGAATGTCCGTGTTTACAAGCCTGCGTAGACTCCTAACCATTCATCGTAGCAATCTTGGTACCTCAATTACACACTATCCAGCTCTGCTTGAACCAGCTGAGTCTACCGGAGACACCGTTTGGTCTCAATAACCCGCAAAACGCCCCAATGCAGCGATTCATCGCAGGTTTATCCGAGAGCATAGTATCGGCCAAGTCGCTCGTTAGTGTCCTCCTCCATACACCTCATGGACAAGAAGTATACTTCCCGAACATAGTCTGGGTAATGCTGCATTGTGGCTTCACTCTAGCCGCACGACTGGATCTGCTAGCTGCGGATCCCCGGGTAGGGTTCATGGCGGAGCACTTGAGGCAATTTGCAGACATTGCACACACCATCCGCCAGGTCGTGCTCAGGCTCGACGCCGCAAGTTCACCAGACCTTGATGACAGAGGCGACCGCGACAGTTTCTACCACTTTGCGATTCGTGCAAAACGGGTCGAAAAGTTTTACCTCCATGCTCAGAGTCAGGCTGCGGCTCAGCAACAAGCACAAGCCCAGCAGCAAGAAATTTCGCCCCATAGTATTCACGCCAGCCTGCCAGCGTCTACTGCAGGGTTTACGACCATGGGTACACCAGGCTCGGATTTTTCAAATCAAAACCCAAGCCTAGATTACACAGTCGCGTCTTCCATATTCTCGCAGAACATGGTGCCGTCGGGCGGGAATGTCGCGTACCCGGACTTTTCTATGGCCAACACCACGACACTGGTCTCGAACCCCGATTTCGTCATGGATACCCTCTCTTTCTTACCAGATTCTTTCATTCCTTTCAGAAGCTGGGGCAACGGTATGGGCAATGAACACAATGGCGGAGCGCAGTTTTAGTGCGATCCTTTCGAAAAGGAGAAGAAGCGGCAGCAATTTAATGGTTTCGAATCCACGGTTGTGGCGGGGTCGGACACGGACTCGGATACGGATTTTGGACATCCTACCGCTATTGGCAATCGGACTTAATGACAGCCGGAGCGAGCAGCAATTTTGCAGGCGGGAGAAAACTAGTGTCAGTCCACGTGATCTTGAATAGAGGATCGGTGTATCTTCAGTTGTTGCTCAATGATACTGCCTGTAATTAGTAGGCTAGAGACGTGCTGCGTGCGTGGCCTCCGTGTCCGTAGTCGAGTAGGTAATAGTCTACCTTCCGCAACACGGACAGTGGACGAGAGGCGTTGGGGAACAGTATATATCGAACTTGAAGTCTGCTGTGAAGATAGGAACGAAATTCATCATCGCCATCTCACCTTCAAATGGCCTCTTGCTTTATCTATCATACAACCCAGATCGTTCCCTCATCATGCGTCAAAACATGCTATCTGCTGCTTCGGCAGTGACCTTGTTGTCTTTTCTTCCGATAATTCTTGCACAAAACCCAGTATACCAGCCATGCCCTCTCTTGAAAGCTTACTATCCTATGCCAAGCATCGACAAGAACGCTGAAGCTGTCAAATCCTTCACCAAAGGCTTCACAACGTTGTTCGACCAGCTTGTGAAAGCGGGCGGCTCTGAAGACTTTGGCGAAATCACACCCAATACCACTTCCTTCTCAGTGGTCTTGTTCTCGGGCTCAGATGGGGCCGAAGAGGATCCCGCGTTTTTTGAGTATCATTACACAGCCCCCAAAGCCCCGCAGAACTCGACACTGAATTCCAATACGGTGTTGCCTCTGGGTACTCTCACCCAACTATTCACCGTCTACGCATGGCTTGTGGAGGTTGGAGATGAGCAATGGGGAAAGTCCATCACAGAGTATCTGCCAGAGCTCAAGTATGTTTCTACGGGGGAGATGCAAGTTCAGTGGGATGATATCACTGTCGGGTCGCTGGCAGGTCAGATGTCCGGACTGGCGAGAGAATGTGAGTTTGCTAAGAATATGTCCCAGCACACTCATACACTAACTACTTCTTCTCAGCCTACGCTTGTGTTCTGAGCAAACCTTGCGGTCGCGATGAGTTTATCAACGCTTTCGGTAATCAACCGCCCCTTTTCCTACCTGACACTACGCCCATTATCTCAAACGCTGCGTTCCAACTCCTCGCCCTGGCATTGGAAGCAAACAAAGCTGAAGGTAGCGGAAATACGACATTCGACAGCATTCTTGCGACTGGTGTTTTTGAGCCTCTCAATATGACGAACAGCGGTTTTCTATCATCACTGCAGGATGCTAAGGTTTTTGCTCGAGATCTGAACGTATCAGCTACCGGTGAACCAGCGTATGCATCCCATCCTATAACTTACTCGCTCAAGACTGATCCCTAGCAGCGCTCTCTCAATGATTTCTTCCACCTCGGATCTTGCGCGCGCAGGTCACGCCATGCTCAACTCTCGTCTCATATCACCGGCCACGACTCGCCGCTGGTTACAACCCATTGCTGACACATCAAACCTTCGCAACGGCGTCGGTAGGCCTTGGGAAGTTTACCACGCTGGCCAATATGCGAACAGCTCCATCCTCGATGTCTTCACCAAGACTGGTCTGATTGGACATTACGCGAGCTACTTTGGCTTAGCTCCTGACTTCAACGCTGGATTCGCCATCCTCGCGCACGATACTGAAGCAGCCCGCGGCCCAGATCTGAATGTTTACGCTGATATCGTCTCTCTAGCGATTGTGCAGCTCCAAAAGCTCGCTGCTACTGAGGCGACGGCGCGGTATGTTGGCACCTTTGAAGGTCCTGGGGGCGTTGCCACTTTCAATACCTCGCATGACGGGCCTGGGCTGCTTGTTTCGACCTTAAAAGCCGGAGAGATTGACCTCCGTGCCCAGATTGCGGAGGCTGCAGGCATAACGTTGGAGGATCTGGACTTTCGTTTATATCCAAGTAATGTTGGTGCAAAGACTCAACACCAGTTTGTGGCGGTTTTCCAGGACAAGAGTGCCCCAGTCGACATGGGCACGCCGACCTGCATTACTTGGCAGGACGTTGACTCTCTGGGGTCAAGTGTAGACGTTCGAGTGGTTTTCACCATTGATGCATTTGGCAAGGCTACAAATGTTACTCTGAACGGTGGTTCCCTGTCATTAGGCAGATCAGCTTGAGACATGTGATGACTGCCTGGATCTTGTCCATGGTAATTTATCAATCTGTCATTTACGCATCAGTTTTCTTCGAATAATTACATATTTACTTATTCATTCCAATTGTATTCATGTCACTGAAACTTGACTTTACAGGACTCAAAGGAGCAAGGCTGTAGGAGTATCGTGATGGCATCATACCTACTTGGGTGTAATCGTGGTCCTTACCTACTTAGGTCAACGAACAAAGCAAAGGGGCAAAGAGGAATACTGCGTCAATGGAGAATTGGAAACCCCAACTGTTATTCCATTCAGATTGTTTCTTGACCTGTCAACTCAGGGGCAGATTGTTGAGTCCTTATCTGGGGTTTTATAGTCTCGGGTAATCGGATCACTGTTTAGTCCTGCCAGACTCGGAGGCGAAGTAGCGATCATGGCTCTTTGCGTGGCGTATTCCGGTCCGGAGTGGGTCCCGTCAATCTATTTCACCGGCGTACGCTTCCCGAAGTGGAAGGACAGCGCCTCATTAAGCCCCGCATGTGTTTAGCCATAACCTTAACTCTTGGAATGGAAACTGCTTGCTCTGGGGAAGCTGGTCCTGTCATGTGAGGGAAGCCGGGAGCCGACTCATTCACTCATATAAGTACGACGATCGTTTCCTCCTTGATCGAAGTCAATCTTGACTTATTCACGTTCAAGCTATCGCTACAGTCCTCGGGATCAAGATGCAGCTCACTCAACTCCTCCTCGCTATCGTGTAAGTGTTGCGTTCGCGTGTGTATCTTCCATGTGAGCTCCTCTAACATCAAACTCAACAACAGCCCATTCATCGGTGTGTCGCAAGCCATTCTTTGCTCGTGCGATCGCAGTACGACTGCATCAATTACTTGCTGCCCGGATATTCAAAAATGGAGTATGCCGTGGCTGTTCCAAAGCTTTTTACCTTTGACTAACAGGTGATAGATGGCTATGAATGTGAGCCAGCTGATCGTCAAGCCTACACCGATTGCTGTGCGGACCAGTTCTCCACTACGACCTTCTGCAGAGATGGCAGTGTTTGAGCTAGTTCAAGATACGTGTTTTGTCTAGTCGATATATTGATCTACATCAAAAGATTTGACTACTCGAGCGAATCTATCAACATGCCGGTCATGTCATGAGTGACACTTATTCTCCAAAGCTTCGTTCCACTATGGATCCCTCAAGCATCTTCGTCCCACAGAGCATAGTCCTCGAAGTAAACGTTATGGATTCGCTCCGCATAATCGACCAAGACAGGGTAACCCTTTATGATCCCTTTGCTATCCGGTGCCCTGTCACGAAGATTATTAGTTTCTTCTTCACACATACGATCGCACTAGATAACGTGACCTACGCTGCACACTCCAAACCTGAGGCAATGAAGCCGAAAACGGTTGCATCCGCCTCAGAAGGATTGTTGCCGCCCAGGACCCAGAAAGGTGTCTGAAGATCAGGAGCTGTGAGGCGAGTCTCACTCAAGAGCGCATTAACATGCCCCCAAACATCCCGCCGAAATTCTGCAAGCTCTGCACTAGAGAAACGGCCAGTGCCTTGGCCGTAGAGGGTCCGAGCGACACCACGGTAGGCAAGGAGACCAATAAGATTCTGTATTGGCCACGGGATCGCACCCATCACACCTGATCGCATGGTTTCGTAGTTGTCTTGCCATCTCTCCGAGCTCTGTTATACAAGGGAGTATTTGTGAGTACTTATGTTGGGAAAAGCTCAGACATTTATCTGCACTTACTTGGTAGAAGGCTAGCTTGTCCTCGAGAAGGGCGCGGATGGCAGCGTCTTGGGCTCTGGCAATTGGTGAAAGTGGCTCGTTGAGGTCTGGACAAACATCTTCATCGATGAGTCGTTGGATGATGAGACTGGTGTCACTCAAAGTGGTCGGCTGATCTTGATTGGGTTGGGCGATCTCAATGTATGGTATTTTACCACGGGGTGACTTGCTCAATGAACCTTGGTCGATGCGAAACCGAAGCTTAGCGAATCGAAGGCGCACTTCAAGCTTCGTGACAAAAGGTGACCAGACATAGGAATTGGAAACTGGGAATCCTCGGTACAGCACGAGGTGAAGCTGACTTTTGACTGGCGTAGACATGGTGAAACTGGTGTGATAAGATAGCTGACTAACGTGTTTTATCAGGTACAGAGGACTGATGGAATGAGATGTGAGGTGAGAATGATTAATTTGGGTGAAAAGAAACACGAGAACACCGCATAGATATACGTACTCTTTCTTTCGACTTTCTTCGAGTCTTTATTGCTTGCTCTCCAGAATGAGAGGCTCGGCTGCCTAATCGGACCCGATTGAGTCGCCGCTGAAGGGCGGCACAGCGGCCGGCCGGACTACGGGACGGGCCTGCGCCGTTGAGCCGTACTGCGTGCGTGATCATTACCCGCGCGGGTCGGGCACGCTTACGATAGCAAACTATGCCTAGAATGAACTTGTGAGCAAAAAAAATAACAACTGTCTGACTCTTGACCGGAATGCCACTTGGATTGATAGTTGGATTGCTTGGGAAAAGAGCACGCATTTGTCGAGCCTTCAGGCCGGAAGTCCGATCACATCCATGCCTGAAGCTCGAAGATCCATATGCCAAGCTACGTACACCAAGTGGTAGCAAGACTCCCAATGATCCCATACGATCGGGCAATTTGATTGATACGTTGTCGAAATGTGAGTCCTCAACAGCCAGTTCGCCAGATCGTCTTAAAACAGCGCCTTCAAGATTAAGCGTTGACCCATTATGGATGAATAAGGTACGCCAAGATGAGTGTTAGGAGTACATGATGATAGCGAAATTCAAACTTTCTTGTCCTGCCTAAGATGATGCAACAGGTCCAACTATCACAGTTGGCATTGCACAAGTAGATCTGGAGCGATTGCAATACAATATGCAGTATACACACGTGCTACAGGATGTTGCAATTTCGCATAATTGTGGCTCGCTGTGATGCGATGCACTAGAAAACAGGATGTAGACTGACTGTAAGAAGAATGGCTTCAGGTGCAACGCCCGAAGACTAAGCAGGTTGAGACCTTTCAGATTGCTTTGGCCATCTCTCTAATTCTTGTCGGCCAGAAATTTTCCATCATGTCAACCCATCGTGCAAATGATGGGCTTGACGTATCACTCAAACAGCGAAAGAACCAGTCATCTTGCTCGCCTGCCTGGATTCGCAGCTTGCTCTGTTCATAGGTCTTGTCAGCACGTCCTTCTTCCTTCGACTCTGAGGGGAACGTGGACCACGAATAATGCTGCTAGTGCAGATAACTTACCCAGGACGACACAGGATCAATGAAGAATTGGAAGACTTGACGTCGCTCATCCGAGTACATTGTTAGTACAGTGTCGACAGGTTTTCCCTCCTTGAGGATCAAGATAAGGGCGTCGCTGAGAGCAACGGATTCCATTAGACAATTGCTCAGACCCAATCCGCCAATAACCTGTGACATCAAGATTAGCTTCAACAGACCTGCTCAAATGTTTGCCATGCCTCTTGAGCTCCTACATTGTTAACGTGTGCGGCGTCGCCAGCTAAGAGACACCTCCCTCGCCTCAGGTTGGAGGCCAGGCGTTGGTGGATGGTGTACGTCGCTGCTCTATCGATCTTGTAAGTCAAGGGTCGTGGTCCAGCCCAAGCGCGCTCATAATGGTATGAAATGTATTCTTCAGAAAGAAGATCTTTCTCGGTCTTGGTCTTGAGCTCTTCGGGATCAACCGCGAAAGTGAGTCTCCACTTCGTCACCTCGCCTTTCACGGGTGGTGTAAGAGGGGTGATGATGGTGTAATGCACCGGCTCCATTAAAAGTGTTGTCGTGACGGGGCTTTCTTCGGTGTTTTGCAGCCAGACATCTGTCGCAATGAGCTTCTCGGGCCAAGTGTGTCCAGGAAAGGAGATACCAAGTAGAGACCTAGTCTTGGACCTGCCTCCATCCGAACCCACAAGAAATGAAGCAACATGCTCCTCGATTTGCCCTGTATGGAGATCTTTGACTGCTATCGCAACGGTTTCGGATCCATTGTTGCCATCGTTGAGGATCGAAACCAGCTCTTTGTTAAACAGGATTTGAACACGCCCTGTCTCAGTCGCCTTTTCCATCAAGACTTTGGTGAGCTCAGGTTGCGCCATGTTGAGCATGCTGATTGCTGGGGGTCTGACTGGCAGGCCAGTTGGGTCATGCTTCGGGTCTTTCGGGAATGACCCAACAATCTTTCCAGGTTTCTTCCCGCCTTCCTCATCAGAGATGGGAGGGAGACGGATGTCAAGGCCGGTACTTCGGAACCCGCCGCCCTTGATGATGGCATCCCAAATGCCGGTTTCTGCCAGAGCGAACTGAGGCTGAGGGTAAAACATACAAGCCCGAGGGAGCTGGGAGAGACCGCTGTCTTTTTCGAGTATGGTGACGCTAACACCTGCTTTGGCCAGACGTAAGGCAGCAAAAAGTCCTACAGGACCTGCGCCGACGACGAGGACATCAGGATTAAGTGGTATAGATCCCATAGTGTTGTGGATAGGAGAGGAGAGGTCAGTATGTGACGATACAGGTAAACAGGCCACTTTTGGCGTAAGATGCTAGGAAAGACTCGACTTATAGTACTAAGGTCATGCACGCACATGTCTGTTGTTAGAGGCCTCAACAGTTCTTATAACCCTGGATGCAACACAGACAGTCTGCAAGCCCGTATCTTTGCACACTCGTTTACATGGCCGAGTGATGATGTGAGGGCCAAGATTGGGTTACGGCTGTTGCAACATGAGTACAGAATGCCTCTCTTTAGCAGTGCGATTGTCATGTACCAGGTTTAGCGGATGGAAAAGAGATGCCGACTTACGCAACGAGGGTGCAGCTCTTGCCCAAGCCACACTTCCATCGCCGAAGTTGCATGTATTCGTCAGCGGACGGCGTGAAGGCCGCTCGGCATCGAAATAAGCCCCGAACTTCTGAAAGAAGAAGTTAGAGATCACCCCGGAACACCATAGTCTCGGCTGCAGATAGCCGGGGGGTTAAAGCGCCCCGGCCCGCTAGCCCAGCCGTTTAATGATGCAGTCTCAGCGAACTTTATCTGGCCTCACTCGCTTGCTTATCTCGTACATATCCAGTTATCAGTGGTGTCGCCATCCTTGTGTCGCCAGGTAGGCAACCAACCTTATCCAAGACCGCCCACATCCCGTAGGTGCATGGGAGTCCTAAGAGTCGAGACTATCTCCCTGACACCTCTGTGTTTACATCAGCCAAGGTCGAAGAGGCTTGTTAGATTTATAAGCTGTCTTCGGCAATGCCATACGGCAGATCTATTTCGGTATAATACGCTGCAAATGAGCTGGTATGGCCGGTCAAAATTTACACGTATGGATGAGTACACATCATTTTCTATGACGCCATTCCACATCATACAGTTGTTCGACCATCTACCTAATTCGAGGAATATGTCTCGACGTGAGTTAGATTGACAATCTATGTATGGTGAAAGGGCCAACGAGTTTTCTAGGAATCACGCACAGAAATTGCAGCCTGCGCCATAATGAACCTGAATGTAGTAAGCCTGCGATTTGGTGTGAGGTATTACAAGACAATGCATGCCCTGTCGTAACGGAGGCCTTCAGAATGTACTGACATAAAGTTGGCACAAAGCGAATGCGAAAGGTTAATGTCTCTCAAGTACAACTTATACTAGCCGGCCAAGAGCCAAGGGACTCAATGGCCCATATCCAAATTGCCTCAAACCCATGAACGGTCGTAGATCAACCAACTACCAACCCCAATAATAGTCCAGCGGAAGAGCGCACCGGTTCCCGAGTCACTGCCGACCCGAAGAACAGACCCCACCACAGACTTGAGTCCAAAGGTTTGCCTTCCATCACGGTCGAAATCAGGCTTTACGTCGCCCAGCCACTGGGACATTTTCAGCTCTGACTCCAAGTATGGCATGTAGCGAACGCGGAAAATCTTGTCAGCCCAACCAGGAGTCTCAGCGACAGTGCGACGATGCGTGAAGCAGTCAAAGGAAGCTTCGCCGCGGTAAGATCCATTACCAGAGTATCCCACGCCACCAAAGGGGAAAGTGTGAACTGCGGCATGCATGAAGGCGTCGTTGAGAGTTGCGCCGCCAGATGTAACACCGGAAAGCACTTTGTTGTAAGACAAGTATTAGCATCAACCACGAGGGGTGTTTGGACTTTCTGTTTTCATACCTTTCTCATTTTCAGCCTGGCTGCCAAAAGCCATGAGGGCAAGGGGAGTAGAATCGGTCGCATTCGCCACCGCAATCGCGTCGTCGATGTTGTCGTAGGGTAAAATGGCCCAGATGGGCCCGAATGACTCCTCCTGAACCATAACATCATCTTCGCTCTCCACGAGAACTGCCGTCGGAGCAATATAGAGATCATCACGGTCTGTTCCTCCGCCTAGAACAATTTGACCACGCGAGCTGTCTAGCATCCTCTTCATGCGATCGAAGTGTTGAGTATTGATGATGCGGCAGAAATCGGGGCTTTCTCTGGCGCCTTTCGGGAAGAAGTCGACGTAGGATTCTTGGAGAAACTTAATGAAAGGTTTGACCAGGGCTCTCTCAATTAGGACATAGTTGTGCGAGACACACACTTGCCCGGCATTGAGCGTCTTCCCCCACAGAAGCCTCCTTGCAGCAAGACGAAGATCTGCGTGACTCGTCACGAATGCCGGATTCTTGCCGCCGAGCTCCAGACAAACCGGAGTAAGTGTTTCTGCAGCTTTCTTGGAAATGATCCTGGCCACGTTGACTCCACCTGTGTAGAGAATCTTATTCCACTTCTCGTCGAGCAGAGCAGTTGTCTCTGGAATGGCGCCATTGACGATCCTGTACGATTCAGGATCCAGATAGCCCTCGATGATACGCGTGAGGACCATAGCAGTCGCTGGTGCATTTTCAGAGGGCTTTACAACTGCGGTACAACCTGCAGCTATTGCGCCAATGAGGGGGCAGATATTGAGCTGCACGGGGAAATTGTAAGTGCCGATGATTAGAACCGCGCCAAGGGGCTCCTTTCTGATCCTTGGTCTAAGAAGAGAGAACGGCAAAGCGACGTCGATGTTTTTGTCGTCCTTGACCCAAGTCTTCAGATTTTGAATGGCAAACAT